ATTCTGTGCTGTATCGAATGCAAGGATTATTATTACTATTTGCTGAATAATGTTAGCTTCATCTAGACCAGAATATGTGCATTTCCACAAAAATATGTAGCTGTTTTTATTATCGCATACAACAGAGTTTAGGAATAAACAGAACTCAAGTCGTCAATCCAGATGCTTTGCTTCTGATGTTACAAAATCTGTTTGAAGAGATTGGTTCAGAGTGCTGCATGTTATTAGTTGGCTAGAAAGTATATGGAAAACATGATTTCAGTTTTAAGGTGCAAGTATGCAATAGACTCAGTGAGGACTCATCAAAAACAGATGATGCATCGGAATCTTGATACAGTTAAAATCCAAGCGTAACTGCTTTTTTGTTCTAACTCTCAAAGATTCATGTGATTAAACCATTTCAAATGGGGGTGAAGAAATCCTACCTTATGTTGAGTTCTTTTTATGTGCCTTCTTTTGAACTTTAATTCAAAACCAATTTAAAAGCCCTCCTCTTCCTCCTCCCATATCATGTAGCGCCATCCCATTCCCTGTGTGTTTAACACCCAGTGAGCACTTGAGCGCCCAGTGAGGAAGTGAGCACTTGATAAGGCCTGATGATAATCCCTCAAGAAAAAAAACAATAATAAAATTGGTCACTTCAATCCACAACTGTTTGTGGGACGCTGCTGTGCACAATTGGCTGCCGCATTTCGCCCGCAAATATAGTCAATTGACTTTACAGTCTATTCTGTGAAGCGCTTTGAGATGTTTAGAAGACGTGAAAAACGCTATATCAAATGCAAAGATTGTTATTACTATCACTCTGATGAATTCTCGCAATAGCCTGCCAGGAGACTGCTGGCATGAAGGCTATCTTAAAATAAATTTGGAAGTCCAGTGGATCTGCTGTAGATCATCCACCAGTAACTGGAGTTTGCTTGACCATTATATTTTGTACTAAGTCTTTATGCATGTTTTTCATTATACCTCTTGCAACTACAAGGAATATAGCCTACAACTATACTCTTGGATTCGGTGCTTTCCTTTATCTTACAACAAAGGGAGTCGTGGCAGAGTAATGGAGAAAAGGCAGGTCTGATTTTGCTTTCAAAGCGCCAGCAGACATTCTGCCTTGGTGCTGTGAAGTTCTATGATTTCGTGGGAACAGAAACTACCAGTGGGCAAAGGATTTCTGCATTATTAACCCAAAAAAACATTAAAAAATTTAATTTAGATTTGCAATATGGAAATAACAATAGTGGGAAAAGGCCAGGAGGAAGAAGGCACTTGATAATCAGGAACATCTATTATTATCACCTAACATTGTTTTGACAGCAGACTTTTCAAAAATAAACATCTTGTTTTTNCTTCTGCACCCAACACGCCTCCCAATGCCATCATGTTGCTCTTACAAAGATATCAAAGTTTTGCGTGTGAACATCCTATATTCCCTGATCCGGGAAGTGAACAGCCAAAAATGTGAAAGGTGCCTAAGGCATGAATCTGACTATAGTATTTGCCGTTGCTGGAGCCACGGTGATTAAAAACAGCATTAATGTTGCTTCCGAACTGGTGCCACAACTTATCTTTTGTTAAGCATGGTCCATCCATTGAGAAAGGATAGTAGCATTTAACCTGTGAAACTAGGTATCTAGGAAGCTGATAATATTTTACATTCCAATTATTATTTAGGGCTGATAGTACAACACAGAAGATGGTGATCAGGCTTATCGTGTCTATGCTGGCTGTTTTAAAGAGCAAGATAGATCGCTATAGACTGCTTTTTGTTTTCAGTTCTTGTATCTGAAATAAGCAGCTGAGAGTTCAGTTATGATGGACACTGAATGTGTGCAGCAATTCTTTCTGAGAGAATATCAGTTTGCGGGCATTTAAGTTTGTCACGTGCATGTGAGCTTCATCAATGTGTTTAGGGTACAAATGGATAAGAATGATTTCGTTTTGTTTCTATTGCACACGTATAACATCCTGATGTAATCAAAATAATGCGACTTACAAGTCGAGGCTGACGCTTCAATACAGTGCTGAGGCGTGAGGCTTTGTCGGAGGTGCCGTCCTTCGGATGAGACATTAAATTGAGGTCCTGTCTGTCTGTTCAGGTGAATATTAAAGAATCCGTGGTATTATTTGAGAAGAAATTTGGGGTTGGTTCTGTGACTTGTGGAGTCCTTGGGTAGATCATCCAGAACTCTGTAGACCGTGTCCTCTCTCGCACTAGGCTCTGTAACCCTATCACCCCCATCCTCGCCCAACTCCCATTGGCTTCCCATCACACAGAGGATACAGTTCAAGATCCTGGTCCTCACCTTCTAAACCCTCCATGGCCTTGCTCCCCCTTACCTCTGCGACCTCCTAACCCCGTACCACCCTGCTCACTCCCTCCACTCGACGGGCTCCAGCCTGCTTCACGTCCCCCGCCTCGCTCGCCTCACTATCAGCGGGCGGGCCTTCCGCCACTCTGCATCCACCCTCTGGAACTCCATCCTGCAGTCCCTCCGTCTCAAGACCCATCTCAAGACTCTCCTCTTCGACCGTGCTTTCGATCTCCCTGCTTCCCCTCCCTCAGCTCAGGTCTGTAACTGTCTGTCCAGCGCCTTGGGACGTCCTCCCGACGTGAAAGGCGCTATACAAATGTAATTTTGTTCTTGTTGGGTAGTGACTTTGAGAATGTACATTTATGGTAAAAGTTTCTTATGTTGCATCCGTGCTCCAGTGCACACGGCAATTTCGCAGTTGTCCGGAAATGTGTCAGCATTTGTTTCTAAAGCTTCGTTCATTTATATTACTGTGTACAGTGGTTAGTTTTATTAGGAGGAAGTGTTTACTGAGAAGACGCTTGTGCAAATCAGCAGTCAGCCAGTTCCAGTCTGTTTTTCAGGGAGGCTATTCAAGTGATCATCCTTTCCACAAATATTTTCTTGAACAAACCTACAACCTGGCACGTCCTCCCGATGTGAAAGGGGATGTACAAATGTCATTTTGTACAGTAACCTCAACAATGAATCAAAAGGGCCACAATAATTGTTGACATGACTCAGACACCTTTGCACCAATTGCTTACAACAGTCTTTTACTTGAATAGGCATATGTACTCTTTTACAAGTAGCTGAATAGAAATACAGAGATCAGAACACAATGAGTTTTCTTGTTCTAAAGGTAGTAATGCAGTCTCGAGTCTTAAATCAGCCAATGTGTAATCAGAGAGAGAGAGAATGGAAACATCTCTGGCTGTGTATTTGTTTGCTGTATGTAGCATAAGAACAGAAGACAGGAACTAGAAAAGGTCATTTGGTCCATGAAGTACATTCCTTTCACAGACCATATACAGTTTGCTCTGTTGTGCACTTTCCCTGATCCATTCTAAGGAAATGTTCTGCACCATTTCTCCCTGTCCTCGAAGGTAAATCAATCAAAACTCCAGAAGTATCAATCTAAACCTTACATCCTGCATTATTCAGCCTCGACTAATCATTGCCAAAAGAAATTCATACCAGGTTTTTTCTTTGGTCAGCCGAATGTCTGACATGTGGAAATCCATCGCCATGCTTAAGAGTATCCAGACCAGACTGATGGAAATACTTTTCCCTTTTCTTTCTTTCCCACCCTTTTCTTTCAAAATGGAACTAGATAAATACCTAAAAGGAAGGTAACTAAAGGGGTACGGGGAAAGGTCAGGTAAGTGGGACTGAAAAGGTTGCCCTTAAAGGAGCTGCCCTTAAAGGACAGACACGATGAGCTGAATGACCTTCTGTGCTGTAAGTTTCTTTGGTTCTATGTTACCTTCATTACATCATGTTTTTTTTTTGTTCCTGTCTTCTCAGCATCAGTGTTCAAAAATGACATGCTACATGTTGCCTGGGATTCCAGGTAGAAGCCCATCAGTGTGGGTCAGGTTGGGATGTTGAGTTCATCTCATCCGATCACTTCTCTACGCCTGACCTAAATGTCAAGCAATAATGAATCCAAGTTTTTAAATATGTTTTTCTAATAATTTACATCAATCCAGATGTCAAACAACTGTTTCACATCAGTCTTTCTCTGTCATGGCCTTGTCTTTAGTTAGCAAAACAAATCCTGGATGTTTGTTCCTGGGGTCAGAAGCTTGGCCTCATCTCAGAGGTTGTTTGAATGTACGGTGAGGATCTGATACAATAGAAATGCCTTCACCCACAACTGATTAAGCACTCCAAGATGCCACCTGGCGTGAAGGGTGCTATATAAATGCACGTTGTTGTTAAGAAAGGTGTTTTATAATGACGATTCACTTTGTTTTAAGAGAAGGAATTCAACGGATGATGGAATTAATTCCAGAAAAGAGGATTTGTTAGTAGAGGGGGGTGGGGGGGAAGAGAAGGGTGGAGCAAGTAGCTTCACACTGGAATTGATTAGTGAGATATTTCTGTTCCAGTGCTTTCTAAAATGCTCTCTGATTTATTTTGCTGGCAAAAGCCCATTCTGGTCGATTTCAAATCAATACTGTTTATTTTGATTAATTGTACCTGAAGGTGTAAAGCTGTAGATCTAAACCCCACACTTGCTTCCCAACACCTACAAGGTCTCCTCCATTCAATCATTTTTTTTGTTGGTGATTCACTGGAGCCACGGTTCACCCATAAAATACACAGTCAATTAAATTTACAATATATATTCTGTGAAGCGCTTTGAGACGTCTCAACGGCATGATAAGGTGCTATATAAAATGTGAGTATTATTATGTTTACTTTCCCTCTCTAGCCATTGGTAATAGAACAATTGTAAGGGACACTTATAAAGGTTTGGGACTTTCTAAGGTCAAGCCACGCTTTTAAAGATGTTCCGTAACAATTCTTGTATTCGCAATTTATTGCAGTTTATTCACCAGTATTACCAATACCCACAATGTAGAAGTGAGTGCAGGCTGACAAAGGTGAAATGACGTTGTCCATTTGTGTGAAAGGCTGAGAAGTCGATCTGAATGTGAACATGACAGAGATGGACTTGTCACTGTGCTTCGTTTGCAGGTGCGAGGACATCCAGAGCCCGGGGTTAGGTGGTATAAGAATGGCCGCCAGTCTGTACCAAATGGTGAACGCCACACAATGGAGCAAAGCGCCCGTGGGACATTCAGCTTCGTCATTACAGCAGTGCAGGTGGAAGACGCTGGAAAATACACGTGTGAAGTTGCTAACGCCAGTGGGGTTCGGCAAGTAACTGTGGAGTTAAGTGTTCAAGGTAAGTGTCTAATAATTCGTACAGAATCAAATGCAGAACCAAACCGCTTTGCAATCAATGACCTTCAACACAGTACAATATGACCGCTGGACTCTCTCCATCACGACCTATACCCTTCCTTACATTTGTCTGGAGATTTTTAAAATATATTTGTTTTGCTCAGTACACTGCACATTTGTCTCTTTATTTTTCCCTCAAACTATATTAGCTGCAACAGCCGCAGGGACTTTCTCTTTGAAGTCCGTACTTTCGTTTTTAATAAGATTGTTGAACAAATGACTCTTAGCACAATGTTGGCATCATTTGCACCTTCCTTATAACCCCAACTGTGATGGCATTCCAGGCAAATACCTGAGCAGTTCACTTGTATTCCATGTTACTTATCCATTTCCTTTGCATAATATGGTTTCCCTTTCTATCTAGTTACTGTTAATGTTAGAGCAATAAAGCTTCCCTAATGCTTAAGTTAGCTTTATCATTTTGCCCACAAAATATCCAGTCAATTCACTTTACAGCATATTCTGTGAAGGCTTTGAGACGTCTAGAAGACGTGTTAAGGTGCTATATCAAATGCAAGTATTATTATACCACTAACAAAGCTTTAATGGAGTTCTGTAGTGTAATGGTTTGAGCACTTGCCTTCAGAAGACCCAGATTCGAATCCTGGGTAGGGTGAAACCTTAGGCAAGTTTCCTTACTCCACACGCCTCTGTTTTCCTAGCAGTTGTTGGACGATTGGCGGATCGCTTTTCTGGGGGTAATAATCCCTTCAAAAAAATAATAATTTGGTTACTCAATCCATGACTCTTTCCGGGACACTGCTGTGTGCAATTTGCTGCTGCATTTGACCCACAAAATAGCCAGTCAATTTACTTTACAGTATATTCTGTGAAGCGCTTTGAACGATGTGATAAGGTGTTATATCAAATGGAAGGATTATTATTATTATTAGTGTCATTGTGCACACGCTGAAAACGTGAACTGGTTAACCCCAAGAGACCACAGTTTTTTGCCGAATAATCAACAGTTAAATGTTTACTTTGTAAAACAAAACACATTTGTTAGTGTTAGAACTTAAGCATCTGCTAACGGGATCACATTGATGTGTTCAGTGGTCCCCTTCTACGTGACTATTAAGGCATATTTGGCTATTGCTTCGTGTCTGGCTTGTATCTCATTGATCATATCTATTTAAGTTACAACAAGACCAAGTAGCTTGTAACCTGTTGGTCTTCACAATCAAAGGATGGAGAGGCTCCAAAAATACTGACCTTCTGGTTCTGCTTTAGTTCACAAATTCTACTAAATAAATTGGGTGTGATATGATCAAAGTCCATCTTGGGGCACAATGGCAAGGAGATCCACATGGTGTGCAGTTCACAAAGATTGAATCAGATTGTTTCATTGAAGGTCTAAGTATATTGCCTTGGATGTTTGATCATTATTATACCATATGTGCAGGACTGCATCCAGCGGACGGCAAGTCAAACCTGGCGGTTAGACTTGAATCTTATCACAAAAGTTTCAAACCAAGCAATTCATTCCAGTGACCTGGACAACTTTTGCTATATTAATGTTGATAATACCATATTCATATTTGGTGTACTATATTTGGCAGCAGTAACTCATTGGTAAATGGAAGTGTTCACACTGACGCATGGAAATGCAGGAATTAAGTTCTTTAGTTGACCGAATGAGTTGCGATTTGAAAATCCAGGTAGTCAATATGGCCTGGATTAGTAAATGTTTAACGCACTTTAAAAAAAATTGCGCTTTTGATGAGAAATGCCTTTGACGAGGTCAAAAGTCAGCGAATCTTACTATACGTGAGCAACTCACCTTCTCGTGCGACCTGGAGTGGTGTTTCATATGGTTGAGTTGTGGTAACCATTGTCCTACTTTGGTACAATGACTGAAATAGGCCTTAGGACATCTTGTAATCCTGATGTTGTCCCAAGTGTTATCACATTTGAGCTCTTGTTTACCACTTTTGTTTAAATTACTGGCTCGGTACTGTGTTACGATTGGTACAGTAATCTCTAGTCTATAGTGTAAATCGGACAAATTCCCAGTGTGGTGGGCTCGGGGTCAATTACTGCAGTACGTTGCGATGTAAACATGGCAAAAGAAGCATTGAAAACACCTCGTAGTGTGTGGTGGGACACCGCCTGCTGGGCACTGCTGGGTAAGAGGAGCCGTGTTACATCCAAATCTACGCGTCTTGCTTCAGGGGGAGAGTGACATGGATTGCTGATAAAGCATCAGTATTCAGAAACTGCCACGGCACTTTTATTCAGTGATATATTCTTATTGCTGCCCCCCACCCCCAGGCATTTAATTACTGAGACACAAAATTTGACCTGATCCTAACCCATGACATAATGTTGTTTTTATTTATTAAAAAAAAATACAAAGGATTGTGGAAACCGCTTACGTTTCATTTGGATTTTTAAGGAAACTGAGAGGAAATCCAGATTGAAATTGATTTGGAAGAATTTTTCTACAATTTGTAATTTTACACTTTAGACAAAATGGGCTTATAGGCTAAAATGAGATGGAATATTGATCGCTTTTATACTCTCTCTCCCCCCACCAATTGGCTGCCGTGTTTTGCCCACAAAATATACAGTCAATTCGCTTTACAGTATATTCTGTGAAGCGCTTTGAGACATCTTGAAGACGTGATCAGGCGCTGTATCAAATGCAAGGATTATTATTATTCAGCTTTGTGGTGCCCTCTGGTGGTTTGGTAACACAATTAGTTCAATTATTTCCTAAAATCCCCCCCAAAAATGACATCCTGAAATCCTGATTCTTGATTAAAGCTTCCCTCGCATTGTGGCTTTGGCAGTGTTTTGATGAGTTAGCAAGTTATTGAATTAATTTCTCCGTTTAAAAAAAAAAAAAATCAGGTGATTCACTGCCAGAAATCTACTTACTGCAGAAACACTGGGGTCTGATGGGGTCGTTGAAATCATCCGACTGAGAGAAATGCTTATCTTGTGTTTGCTTCTCAAATTTAGCTTTGCATATTTCTTTTATTTAATTACAGGAGACGGTGTGAAGAAATATGGGTTGTCAAGCAATTCCAAAACATCCGGGTAAGTGTCTTACTTAAACGAGCAAATCAGCAGATTGAGAGAAGACTCAGGTCCTGCTCTGTTGCTTCTGTTTATTAATAATAATAATCCTTGCACTTGACATAGAGCCTTATCACGTCATTGAGACGTCCCAAAGTGCTTCACCGAATATATTGTAAAATAGATTGACTGTGTATTTTGTGGGCGAAACACAACAGCCAATTATTATTTACAATCGCAATTAGAATCAAAATTAGAAGTCAAAACCCCTATTGCATTGACCTGGGATCAGACAATCCATGTCAGTTGGAAGGACTTGAATTTTATGGAAACTAAACTCTAGATTGAAGACTCGATCCCCAAATTATCTTTACTCATCAATCCTAATGCACTAATAGGCACTTAACTACTAATTGCTTCAACATAGCATTGTCTCCTCTCAACCGGCCTCAATTCAAATCAGTGCCTATGACTTCTGTTGACCCATCCCATCCATCTACCAGGCTCTCCTGTCCTGGAATCCGATTTTAACCAAATCTTTCAGATTTTCGACAGTTCCTTCTGCTTTCCCCCACAAAATATACAGTCAATGCACTTTACAGTATATTCTGTGAAGCGCTTTGAGATGTCGTGAAGCCGCGCAAGGCGCTACATGAAGTGCAAATTACATCCTTTCTTTCTGTGCCTGCAGTCGACTTTCTATTCCATCAATTGAAAACAGACCCAGCATCTGGGGCGAAAGCCCACCAAAGTTTGTCACCAGGCCAACAAGGCTGATTGTCAAAGAAGGACAGAACAGCAAATTCTCCTGTAAGATAACCGGCAGGCCTCATCCTCAAGTGACCTGGCTGAAGGTAACACACCGTTCTGTCTCGGATGCATTTTAATCTGTAGATTATCAAAAGACTGGTTTGACTCCAGGCCATTCATGAGTGAAGCCAATTAGTGCCCTGTCAACAGGCTATTCAACAGAGAGATTGCAGCCAAGCCTGATTTGTTCTTTCATTCAGCGTGTTCTTCTCTGGTAGAGGCTGGATAGCAATCACGAAAGACGTGAAGGGCGCTATCTAAATGCACGTGGTTGTAGTTGACTTGGTGTAGAGACAGCAGGGCGGGTATGAACAGTGTGTGCACCGCAGTAATGGACATTTTAAGGATGGTACATGTGACAGTACCTACAATAAGTGACAAAGAATAGCACAATTAACCGTGGGCACGTCGGAAGATCTGATTACAGAGGTGTAAAGCGAGCAACTTTGTCGCTTCACTGTCAGAAACCTTCGCATTAGAGACTTTTTGGAGAGTGGAAACCAATGAATTGATTAATAACAGTGCAGAAGAGACGTCCTTTGTACAACAACCATGTGTTCTTCTCCCCAGGGCGATTCAGAGCTGCAGCAAAGTGATCGCTTCAGTGTGGTTGAGAAGTCTGGTATTCACTACTTGGAGATCCGAGCTGTGAGGCTGGAGGATGCTGGAAGCTACACGTGTTCATTGATGAATAACTCAGGAAAAGCTTCCTCCTCTGCAGAACTCCTAGTTCAAAGTACAACACAATATTTTATCTTTTGTTTGTGTAAAAAAAAATACACTATTATGATCATGAGATTTGCGGTTCAACCTGGGCATTTATTAGATAATAATAGTAATTGAATTTGATATAGTGCCTTACCATGTCTTTGAGATGTCTCAAAGCCCAATATATTTATAGATTAAATATTCATATCAGTGTGATTTATTTGGGGGAATACTGATGAGCCATATGAGATCTGAGGTTAAAAAATAAAAGAATTTAGCAGCAATCAAAATAAAGAGGTCTTGCATTTACCCTCCCATGAGAGTCCGAATGTAGAATTATATGACTTGAGATTTCATTTCTCAGGATTTTATAGGCTTTATTCAGCCATCTCTTATTTCATTTTGGCTGCAATTTCAGATTATTTTTTTCTATCTGACCTCACGTCACCTTTCTTGATTCTTATCGGACTATTAATAATCGGTGGAAAGGCAGAGAACTTACATGTGACAGCACAAAATAAATCAGATGATGTAGTTCTACGCAGGAAGAATATCATATACCGGCACAGCATTTAATTTAATATCTTTTATACATAATTTAGGTTAGGATTTTAAGTGAAATGTACAAGTAAGATGCTCAAAACAATTCAAACTCTTCCAATTAATTTATGCCCTGTTCTGGTTTCTATTTTCTTTGCATCTGTTCTTTCTACTTTCTCTCTCTTTCAGCTTTTCTGGTTCCAATCGTTTCGATTTTTATGAATATGTTTTACATTTTCTCTGTAATTACTTCCGTGCCCGAGAATTATTTGATGCTATGTTTATGGTGAAAACATTGACATTTCTGAAAGATTATTATTTGCTTGGCAACCGCTGTGCTGTTAGAATCCGGACTGATGTAGACCAGTTGTATGACTCTCGTTGGCGCGGTGTAGACTTTAAAGCGAAACAGTAATAGGCAGCAGAACACAGAGCTAAACAATGCTTTACCTCTGGGCTCAGTGCAAGGAAAACTGAACTCTCCATGTGTGGATTCGCAGCACATCTGCACGGCTCTGCTAACCAAACACTGAATGGTGTTTATAGTTTGGCATGAAACAGCTGGCGGTCTGTGGCAGGATAATGATGCTGAATTGAGTGATAGGTTCGACCAGGGCTATTTAAACAGTACTGGGTTGCATTGAAGAAAAGTCAGAAACTGGGCATGAACTCAGGAAGAGTTGGGCAGATAAATTGATGGACAGCTTTTGTTTGTTATTTAACAAAGGTTAAGCCAGTCAACGAAATCTTAGAGTTCCTCCTCGGTCAATCCCAAGCTTGTCATCAAAAACAGAAGTCGCTGGGAACACTCAGCAGGTCAGGCAGCATCTATGGAGAAAGGAAAGTGAGTCAACGTTTCGGGTCTATGACCCTTCGTCAGAACTGGAGAAACTCCCAAGTTTGTCAAATTGTTCCACCAACTCTTTAGTAACATTTGAACCCAAACTGAATCACACTGGAGACACCTCTGCTGAAACGAAGGGTTTCAATGACATTTTGATTCATGCCACAACAGTATCAATGCATCCAGGAACGGGTTTAAATTGAAACGTTTGCTTTACGGTGGCTTCATTAGACTCTAGAGTCCAGGTTTCTGCTGCACTTTGCTCTACTACTAGAAAGTGACCAATCTCTGCTTTCATGAGACTGGAGACAGAATTAATGAAGTAGTGAGTTGTTCAGGCGGCTTTGGGTGTCATCTCCCAGATCACTAGGGCTGTTCCTGTCTGATCTGAAGTTGGGTGGGCAAATTTTCAAACTAGTTGAGATTTGGAAATCACACTAATCCCTGGTGGCTGGTGATTATGAATACAGTGACATACGCATCCTCAGGGGATGTGGGGGTCTGTGTGGGTGATTGTTTTGAGATCCTTACACTGGAACAGCTCCAGTTGATGATAAAAGGATTGTCTTTCCAGATTTGGCAAAATACATAAGGTGATGCCCTTAAAAAAAATTAATAAATACTAACAATAATAATTGGTTACTTAATCCATGACTCTTTGTGGGACACTGCTGTGTTCCATGTTTTGCCTATGACATATGCAGTCAGTTTACTTTACAGTGTATCCTGTGAAGCGCTTTGAGAAGTCGCGAAGATGTGATAAGACGCTATGTCAAATGCAAGGATTATTATTATATCAGCCATGGTCCCTTTGTTTCTCTACACAGTAATTGCAACAAACATTTACAAGCACAGATCAGGAATAAATATAACATATGCATATCTTTTAAGCAAAGTTTATATCATTATATTTTTTAAGTGTATTATGTTTAAGAGAATCTCATTTTTCTTTTCTAGGTACAAGTTCAACATCAGAAATGTGAGTATGTGATCCAAACTGCAATTCTAAATTCAATTCTGAATCAAATTACTTTTTAAAAAAAAATGTTTAAAAATGGCGGTGATTTAAAGACTGATCGAATTTTATACAAAATGTTTTTATTAAACAAATAGTACATCAATGGAGGCAAGAAGGTGCGAGGCCAGAATTGCCGAACCTTTGCAAAGCAAGATCACAGCTACAAATGGCGTTCATCAGACAAAGAGAGTGTCCAGCTCAGTCACCATTCAACCCAAAGAAAGCGAGGGAATAATGAGAGGGATTGCAGGAACCTCCGACAAACCAAAGGACAAGAAGAATGAAGAGAGGACAGCAATAGTACTCCAAGAGAATAAATCTGGTCAAGAATTGAAAACCGAAGTGAACAAAGACCAACAGCTCAGAGTGCAAAGTACAGTAAGCCTCCAGCAGCCAAAATTGGAGATGAAGCAAACCAGGAGCACTATAATGCACATGCAGCCGAAATCCTCATGTGACGTAACCACTGACGTGCAATCAAAACGTGTACACAGTGTAACGAGCTCCACGCAACAGAGACCCCAAAGTACTGTAACGACTGACGTGCAGAAGAAGTCCTCGCAAAATGTAACCACCGACGCACAACTGAAGCACTCTCAAAATGTGACAACATCCACCCAGCAGAAAACGCTCAACACCATCACACTTCAGCCACACAGGGTTCGGGAACCCAGCGACAAAAAAGATGTTCCAGGGGAACAGACAGATGCGTGTAAGACTGTTGCTCCTCAGTGGACCTCAGAGCGTGGTGGGGTTGGGCAGCACTCGCACGCCGAGACAGGGAAACCTTCAGTGCAATTGGAAAGCAGGAAGATCGCCAGAGAGCAAATATCAGTGACCAGAGGATCTCCTCCTGACTTTGTTCTGCGTCCGCAGAGTCAGACAGCTGCCGAAGGTGAAGAGGTCAAATTCAAGTGTAAAAGTAAGTCAGTTACCAATGGAAACACGGATGTCATTGTTGTCATGTAAATGGTTAAATGGTTTTTTTTTAAAAACGAAAATACCATTGTAAATTAATGTTCCTATTTAAAAAAAATCTAGACATTTACTCTTCACTACTCATCTAATCTACTTAAGTCACCCAGCTCTACGCTTTAGGGTATTGGTTTAAGCAGGGAAGAGACTTAATTGCACCTCTTCACACACACTGACCAACCCCCTGGGGGTGGGATTAGATTACCGTAACCTCTCACAGAAAAGGTGAACTGGATTATCCGAGCTGAAGAAATTGCCTCTAAAAATTTATTTTACTTTTAGAACATTTCCACCATTGTTTGCCTTGTATCTCAATCCATAACTGCACAATGTCTTCATAATATCATGAAAACATTGTACAAATCTTTTTATTTCAAGTTGGTCCGCTATAAATATCGATATGATCACAGAAACATTGGGATTCAACTTGTCTTAATGAATAGAAATGTTACGAAATAGAATAGACGCCCGTCAGTTCTGGCGCATAAAATGCATAGAATCTGCGTATAATTTATACTGTATTCTTAATGTTCCTTTGTGTTGTGTAGCTATAGGCAGTCCGAAACCAGAGGTGGAGTGGACTAAAGATGGAGTTTTACTGACAGGAAATGCAGGTGTTGAAGTGTATGAGGAAAGCTGCATTCATCACCTTCGCCTTAAACACGTACATGTGTCAGACCGTGGCTCCTACAGCTGCACAGCCACAAACAGCAGAGGTCAAGTCTCCACGCGATGGACGCTGACTGTCAGGGGTAAGGACGCAGGCTCGTGAAGCTATTCCATGGATCAGTATTTCAGAAGGACAGTTAGTAAGTGAAGGGACAGGCATTATTTCCAAGAGCGACTTGGAGAATGTATTTTTGCCATCCATAGTTGAAGGGGAAAAAATCCCGATTAGCACGTTGTAAATCCTTTGAGATATTTATACTTCATCAAGGGTCGACGTCCGTGCAAGTTGTTGCTGTCATGTCATCTGGAAGGCATTTGTAACAGTTCCAGTTCACTGCACGATCTGACAATCCCTTAATTTTCATTCCTTTTGCGGGTTTGGGAACTGTTGATTAACGGAGTGGATTTGGATAAAAAATGGTTCAAGTTTTTTTTATTGTGGGTTGGACATTCTGCTCTCCTCACACTAGGGCCCCTTCTTCTCTACGCTCGACTGAGTCTCATTTCCTCCAGAGAGGAAATTGGTACAGTTACTTTGATTCCTCGAGTATCATGAATATCTTCAGTAATTTGTAACCTTCCTCCTTCGACAAATTGGAAAGACAATCACACCTGCATTAAAAATGAGCAAACCTCAGGCGTTTTGCACAGAGTTGGAAATATGCAAGAATTGCATTCACAATGTGGCTCGAACAGTGAGGCATCAGCTTCTTGTGTCCGAATAATTAAGTAATTAGTCTTCACTGGAAAGTCTCCCAAATAGCTTGAGTGAATTTGGCATTAGTTTAAACCATTAAATCAGCACCATTTCTGTTAGTAGTTTGGCAGGTGGAGATGTGGTGTGGTTCTTATATGCTGTGCCTTAGAGAAAGAGAGAGCAAATTCATGCCTCCAGATGTGAAACATACTTTCAGACTGCTATCCGTCTTCCCCAAATGGTTCTGCACCTTCACTTCCAGGCCCTGCTTCTACCACCCCCAAAACAAGCACATTTGTAGGTACTTTGCAAAGATTATAATAAGAGTAATTTATTTGAATGTACAACAAACAAATTACATTTGTATAGCGTCTTTCACGTCGGGAGGATGTCCCAATGAATGAAGTATGTTGTTATATTTGACTTGTTTGTTCAAAATCTGTTAGCGCAAACCAGTGATGGATTCTTCTTGGTTCATCCCATTAAGGCTCCAAAGTTGATGCTCCATTGTTGGCACCGTTGTTCACTAGCGTACTGAAGGAATGCACAGTGAGCGAGGGACAAGATTTTGTATTGCAGTGCGCTGTGAAGGGCACACCCATGCCCCACGTTACTTGGCTTGTGAATGGTAAGAAAAATGTTCTCTTCACCATTTCTCAACTGGATTCCTGAACAATGGCTCGTGTATGGACCAGATCTTGGAGTTCTGTGTGGTTTTTTTTATCACCCGGGTGTCTGACACACACGGAAACCCATCACCGTGGCTTAAAATTGTCCAAACCAAGATGAGAATTCCATGCATCCCACCTACACATGGAAATCCCAGAGAGAGATTGCTGGAATGGAATGCGCTCTCTCTCTCTCTCTCGCTCTCTCCCCTGGAGGGATGCACACAGCTTACCTAATTCCGCACAGTATTAGGCGCAGGCTGGCAAGAGTCAAGCTAAGAAGTATAAAGGCTTGGAATTAACAATTATTGATTTTAATAATGCAGGTTGACTTTGATGGCCTATTATTTTATGTTCAATATTTTATATTTTCCGTAAATAACTACTGTTCAAATACTACCGAATTTAACATTAGAGCAGCTCTTATTTGCTCCTACAGTCATTAAAAAATAAATTAATATCTCAACCATATTCAAGCTGAACCTGTGGGTAATTTTAAATCCAGCGCCATCCTAAAATGAGCTTTGCTTAGAAGTGTTTTTTTTTAATCAATTCCCTCTGCTTGCGGATAAATACCCATTCATGGAAAGTAAAAAGTATGGATAGTCAGAAAGTCATAAGGACTTTCTTCCTTTGTGTGTTTAATTTAATTTGACTTTCTTCCTTTGAAGTTTTCTGCAAAGTGTGTTTAAATTTAATTTGCATTTTGCTCTAAAAACAGTCAATCCACTTTACGATAAGTTTTGCAAAGGACTTTGAGACGTCTTAACGATGTGATGAGGCACTATATCAAATGCGAGGGTTACTATTATTTCATCCCCTGTTGAACGGCTGATTCTGATCTGTCCTTCACGGTGCAGTTCTGAAGCAATTCCAGAAGGCGTCTCTACTCTATTGAAGTATTGGCCACTTTGCAGGCTTTCACGATGTAGTCTTGGAACACGCAGCCATTTTACAGCTGACCTCCAGCTCACCTTGCGAATTTATAAATTTTACAGTGTGCCACGTTGCAGTTCAGTAGAAAGCTTTTTTATTTTTATCAGCTCTTTGCTCATCGTGGTTTTTATATTGCTTCTATTTTTTTTTTACTTCTTCCTGCCTCGGGCCCCAAGACTAAGAAAAACGGTGGGGGATTTTTATTTAAATTGGGAAGAAAGCCTAATGTAAACGGTGCGAATCAAAGGATGTGAATTTTAATTTTCCCAACGTTTTAGTAGATTTTCGAGGGTTTGGAAATATGTATTCCATCGCTGAAGACGCGCTTCCAAGAGAATATTGGGCTGTGTGTTTAGCGAGGAGAGTCGATCCACTCCAGCCTGCAAATCTCAGCTTGCTGTGTGGAGGAATTGCGCGCGTTCCTATGAGTAAACTCTTAAAACAATTTTGCAAGCGAGTTAGGCAGATTTTAAACGTAGCCTTCAATTTTGCCTTTGTGCACAGTATTTGGAATTTTATAGAAGTGCTGTAAAATTATTCAACAATCCCAATGGATTATATTTGGGTTGCACCTTTGGAAGGACGTCCCGAGCCACTTTATTATTATTATTATTCATGCTAATTCTGTAACACTAATTAGCCACCCGACACACGCAACTAATTATTCGCAGCTGTATTTTAACCCTTTAATCCCACATTCATCTTGTATTTCGGTAAAATGTTTTTTTCCGTGTGTTGGCAATCAAAAAATAAATAATATCCCCCAAAAGACCAAGGTAATCGATTTCCTCTCAAAGGGTAATAATCACAGCAAGCTATTGAACTGATTTAGTAGGGCAGTATAACAATTTCACCTAATCTTATTCTTACTGCCCTATTCTTAAGATGTTAGCTGAGTCTAAATTCCTACCGTAACTGAATCCATCCAATGTTTTAAATCTATTGTTATCTTTAAATAAACATAGCTACCTTGGGTAATATGCCTTTAATGTCCTGTCAAATACAGATTGGAGCTGTGCTGCATTTCTTTATCCCTAAATTCTTAATGGATCATATTATCTCTGTTTTGGCTATCAGGTTTTCGGTTGAATGACTTGAATTAATAATAACCACTTTACACTTAAGAAGACTTATTTCACATTTCAACACATTATGCATAAATTCTCGGATTCTAAGAACCATTTCCTTTCACGTCTTTCTGTGTTGTCGTTAAATCATTTTTTGGCATGATTCGACAACTAAATACAGATTGAGAGAGGTAACAAAGATTCCTGTCACATTATGCCTGACAGATATACAACGGGTACGGGCTAAGCAGCTATGACATTCACAACCAAATAAAGGAAAGACTTGCATTTCAGCTGCCGAAATATTTCGCAGGTTAGTGCAGACTTGGCACGAGTTAATGGAGCTTTCGTAACCAATGAAGAGAGTTAAGGAACCTTTGTGGGCTGATCTAGATGAATCCTGCATATAAACACTTAAGTTAGCTGATTTTCTTTTTAGCACTGTTAGAATTAAAGTTACTGTGAACATAATCCAGTTTTTGGGGGATGAACATTTGCTCTTTGAGCTATTATTGGGTGTTGAGCTTTGGTCAACCTCTTCCAAGCTCCCCTTTGTAAACCAATAGAGAAACAACTTGCGAGTGTTTACATAAGTATCCATGTTCTTTATGTGGCAACTGTAAATTAATTGTTCAGTAATTTGTGCAAAGCCATCACGGTATTCACCATGTCACTCTGCTTGCACTGTAATAAACATGTCCTACTTGCAAATGGATTACATTCCTTGCAACCAACCTCCCTCCAACACTGTTCACTGGCTATGTCAGTCTGATAGATGAGCCCAGTTGTTGTTTAAATGGTGTTAATAACTACATCAGAAAATAATTACTTAGCACTTTTAGGAATTCCTTTACAAAAGAGGCGCTCTATAAATCCATGATTTTGTTGATAGTCGGATCACATGAGAGAACATGAAACGAGAAAAGTCCATTTAACCTATAAAAACAAGCCCATTTCTTTCACAGACTGTGCACAATGTGACCCTTTCCTCAGAGTATCTACCTTTTTGTTGGGAAAGTTCTGCAGTTTGTCACTTTTTTGCACAGTAACGGTGAAAACAGGAATTGCAAATCGGGTTAATTGCAACTGAAAATAATTAACTTCACTCAACACAAGTCTGAGGAACCAGATTAGCTGGAAACCTCCCAACCACTTTGCATAGATTGATAGGTAATTAAGTTCAACAATGCTAAAGTTTCTATTCTCCGGTGCAAAGTCCAGTATAGAAGAGTAAAATATCACTCATCATAAGCACTTACGATGCAGTAATCTTACATATTGCTGCACATTCACTGTTCTGTTCCATACATGGAAATAAAATCATTCCTTCTTTCATACCAAATTTGTCTGAGAAATGTTCACTCATAGTTTAATATTTTATACCCAAAGCCTTGATTCGATATGTGCAGTACTGAGTCTGTTTCCATTCAAATCAAAGCTTGCTTTCCTTGACCTCCTTTTGACACAGTCACAATTCGCAGAGTATATGAATTCAAATAAACTAGTTAGAGAGGATATATTTATTCTAATAAATTAGTGGAAATGCTGTGATGCCAGTACTGGATATCCGACAGCTCGTGCTAGTTGCATTTGGAGTCAATTGTTGGGTGTTCAATACAGATCAGGTATAATTCGTAGTATTTCTTAACAGAATTCCTTAATAAAGAATCTGAGCTGTGCAAATGGGGACTCCTTCAGGTAACCAGATGTGGGTCACGTGAGCTTCTCGAGCAGAATTTCCACACATTGATGAGAAAAGGGAATTCCATTAGAAGAATCCTGCCAGAATAAACCTCGGCTTACTTGCAGTCTGCTTCGTTTTTCCCTGGCCATATAAACAGAGGATCACAAGTTCAATATTGAGAAAAGCGTAAGAACGCAATCGCCAAAATAATGACATTTCCCTTTCACGTCAGGAGAATTTAATTTGTTATTGTTGATTTATGGACAAATCTTGAAACCCGCCCTAAATATTCTGGCTTAAACAAACGCAAGTTAAATTTATATAGTGATCATTCTTGTGGTTTGTCTCACCCTTAAAGCTTACACTCCTAAACCACATCTTTCTATTTTATCTCTTCAAATTTAGTCTTGGGGGTTTGTTCCTCAAACACTTGGCTTAGAAAAACATGCATCCTGTGTGGTTTCTGCAGACCGTACACATTATAAATACATTTACCATTTTCGGTTGCGCTCCCTTTTATTTTATCTGATTCAAAGCAGTCTGTCTTTTCTCTACAAACTGACAAACACCCTAAAATAATTCCTCTTTCAGACTGCATTTAGCGCTCTCCCCAATTGTGAAATTTTAGCATGAATATTTCATCCATCGCAGATCTGATCGGACACTAACTCTTCGAAAATCAGCTTTGAAAATTATTTCAGTTTGATCTGTTTTTGGTTCTGAAGATTCCTTCCCTTCCGGCTGCGTAGAGAAGCATTTCCTGTTAGTTTAGATCCCGTGAAGCTGTTTGTTCTGTTTGCGGAGCCTGCCAAAACGCGAATAGGATCGTTCTGCTATTCAAAGTGAGAATATTTGTGAAGTTTATGGCAGGTGATGAGCTTTTACTGGACTTTGAAGAATTGCCAGGACAGACAGGAATTCCGAATAGCAGATGGCTACATGTAGTGGACGTGGGTGGAGGGGAAACACATCAAATATGGAATTAGGGATATATGAGAACAGGAGGAGGCCATTCAGCCTGTTCCATCAGTTTATCAGATCTTTCACCCACAAAATATACAGTCAATCCACTTTACAATATATTCTGTGAAGCGCTTTGAGACGTCTCGAAGACGTGATAAGGCGCTGTATCGAATGCAAGGATTATTATTATAATTATTATCTTGGCCCCATTTTTTTTGTGCGAATTTACTTGCTCTTCTCTTAAAATAAAACGATTGTGTGCGGAATGCCCGCTGTTGAGATATTGTTTGCAAGTAGTGAGCGGGCAGATTTATTTCGACATTAACAGCTTCAAATGCTTTATTACTATTTTAATTTGAATTGTTTGTTGTGAGTGCGGTTCACCAACGCCTTGCTTGGCTGGCAGTCACTGCACGCTTAGAAGTTCTCTCGAGCCAAACCATGTGATCAGATTTCACTGTGGTCCATTTCTTTGAAAATAGTTTTGTTTAGTTTTTTTTATTACACATGGTTCATCATCTTTGAGAAGATCTGTGTGGTATTTCCACTTCAAAAAGTCTCTATTGTTGGGTAAAAGGAGTCCCAAATTTATTTTTTCAGTGTATTGATTCCTTACTATACGCACACACCCTCATATTCTTGCTCACAAAGATAGAAAATCCAACATCTACGGTATTGACAATGTCCTCGGCTGTTTCCTAGGTTGGCAACACTTCCGACCCAATTTTGGGAGCTCAAGGTTTCTTCTGCACTCAACTTCTCCTGTTGAGGAAAACTGTAGAATCAGAGGAGGCAGCAAAATACTGTTAAGATATTTTAAGATTCATTTCAAGTTATTCTGTGTCCCGTCAACAGAAAAACCCATCCAGTATGCTCATAGCACATTTGAAAATGGTGTTGCAAAGTTATCCGTACAAGATGCTCTGCCAGAAGATGATGGCATTTATACCTGTGTCGCAGAAAACAGCTCTGGAAGGGTATCCTGCAGTGCTAAGGTGTCCGTGCAAGGTAAGACCATCATTCGTACTTTATTTGCTAAATCAAGTGGACAAAAAGATAATCCAGTGGGACTGCAAAATGTAAGCATCACTTATTGATAATCTCTCAGTGAATTATGGCTGTATGTTGTAGCCCCAGTGCATTGCATCGCCAGCTGTCCATTAATTTATTACAGCCCTTTCCTCTTGTTCTTCCCTGTTTACACATTAATCTAAACCTATAAATATGTTCCGAAGTCCCTGCACAGCATTGATGGTCCATGCAGATTTAGATTGCTCCCAGCCTTTACCGAGAGCCATATTTAGAATTGTTTGTATGCTTCGAAACTCAAACAGAGCCGTTAACCTACGTACACCTTTGTGCAAACGTTCACAAACAGAGATGGTGATTGAGTCCTAGACTGTAAACTTTTTATAGCTGGGATGAGAGAGAAGCCACCTTGTTTATCATTCTGATATCCTTTTAAAGCTTATTTATAGCTGTAAGCTGCTGGCAGCCTCGCTCTGCTGCACAGAGTATTTTTTTGAGAATGCCAACACTTTCCCACAGTGTTCCCAGCTTTTCCTTTTATGTATCTATTCCATGTGTCCAGCAACTCTTTTATCTCTCCTCGTGTCTCCTCTTTGTTAAATGCAATATATATTCTCAAAGTGAAATATTCTGGCAGTGTGTATCACGATTGATTCAGTTTTACCAAATTTGCCAAAAAATAGCCTAAAACACAGAAATCACAAATCTCTACATATCCCAAAATAATTTATTAAGATTACATATTTAAGTGAGCTATTTACTCTGAGTTTCATTGAGATTTTTTTTTTAAGAAGTTGTGATATTTATGGATCTCTAAGTTTTATTTATTAAATACATTATGAACATAAGAGTTTACTGGTTTTAAAAAGACCAAGGTCCATCCTGTTCGTCTTACATCATCCTGGCAGTCGCTTGACAACTATATAATATATCCCAAGATATTATTTCCTAACAGAAATCTATCTAATTTGTTCTTGAATGAATCAACGCTTTCTGCTTCCACCATCTCCCTAAGGGAACCTGTTTTACAATTACAAAACAATGATCATTAATCACGACTAAAGCTAGCGAACCTTTGCTTTTCAGGAAACAGCGATACAGTTGAGAACTATTAATTCAGCAAAAAAATCTTATAATGTAAGGAACACCAAAAAAATGACCAAGCTAGTAGTGATGCATATGAATAGAACTGTATAATGACTAGAACTGTCTGCTCTTTTAGGTTCTGTCTAATTCTAAGCATTTTGCTGACGAGTACAAAAAAAGTAATAGCTACCCTGAATTTTATTTGCACAGTAAACCCCATTTAATATTTTCTCAGTTGCCTGCATGGAATGTAGAGATTAAAATGTGCCAAATGCATATAATGTTTTTTCCATGGTGGCACTCGGCCCATTCATATAGCAGACCATTACCATGCAATTCAGGGCATGTGTGTGCATTAGCTGCGGCTCTTTATGTTCTTATGTGATGTGCGGCCTTGGCTCATGCCATGTGCAACTCCTACATATGCCCACCGCTGGGATCTCTGCTTCCCCATATGTTCTTGACCTTTTTACTGCCCCAGTTTTGTGCAGTTTCACATGCAACACATTTTGGCTGTTTTCATACCAGGCTGTTCACATGGATTCCATTCTAACCCCACATCTCCTGAACGTGATTTGTAACATTGCAGTTGAATATGGCACTTTTAGTGTCTAGATTCAATGTGAAATATGTCTGTCGTTTATCAGCCTATCACCAGTTACACAAGAAGTATGAAGGTACCAGTTTAAATGGGAATAACATTACCAAAGATTTACTTCACTCACACACATTTGTTAGTTCTCAGAGAGCATTTGTAGTTAGGTGGGAGTTAAACGAGATTCTTAATTTTCCAGTGTAGCATTTATTTTAACTTCAGGCCACAGCATTAAACACCTAAAGAAAATGGTAGGAGTTCTGAAGTATTAGAGTCCACTTTGAAGCATGAAGAAAACAGCTTTATTCAAATCCATTGATATAACTAGCTCATTGCTTTGCTGAAAAACACTGAACTAGTTCAGTTTCTGTGCTGAAGCTTGTTTAACATTAGTCTTGAACTCTAATTAAACGTCAAAGGATGGCTTTTCTCTTTCTGTACAGTAGTATAATTTGCATCAAGTGGCAACTTGGAAAATTCCCAGCAAAACCTGAAAGGTAATGTTTGAGGAACAATAATCCAGAGATCTGTATTGAAATATTTAGATATTAATCTTTGAAAGGGATGCTCTTCTGGACAGGAAAATACCTTCGGAGTTAAAGCCTTATGCTTGCCACGTAATGTGTATTGTCCTTGGTGCCAGCACTCAATTGAAATACCATAAATGGTAGTTAGTAACTGCTGTGCAAGCGTGATCTTGTGTCTTTCTGCCACAGCTTCTTCTCCAGCAATAGAACAACCTTCCCTTCGAATTGTCAGCTCATGCCATTGACCAATAGACAATATATTAAAAAGAAAATGTCTTCAGATTTATCGTTGCAGGGAGAACTTTCCATAAACACCAGACTTTTTTTTCATTGACAATTCAGAGTACTGTAGCATGACCACTGACAATGCTTGTCCTGTGTTGCAATTCTATTTATTCCTGATTTTGTTTGCCAAAGGCACTGTACTGGCTCCATTCTAAATGAAAGGGTGTGTTGTAAATGATTGGAAAGGGAATGAATAAGCCAGTGATTGGAAAAGAACTGAATAAGCCATTGTTAGGGAATACTGTACCTTTTAGATGCAACATAAGTTATCTTTTTTTCTTATGCTGGTGGGGAGGACATGTTTGTGCTCCTCTAAACAAGAGATGTCAACACTGCTTTCTTCCATCTCACTTTCTGTAGCTGTTGTTGGTGTTAAACCGTTCAATTCAAAACAGTTGAAACAAATTGCAGAACAGACCCAGCACTTGCTTCAGATCAATAGACAACAGAAGCCTTGCATGCAATCAACTGGGTGAATTCTGTTTCTTTTCTCTTTTTCTCTAACCCTCCTCCGCCCTCTTTCCCCCCCCCCTCCCCTCACACACACTGATGTGCACTGAAGCCAATGCCTTTTGCATTACTGGCTTGTATCAAATGTAGGACACAGATAGAAGAGATCTGGGTCTGAAATAACAATCTCATTAGATTGTGCAACAAACTCACTCGTTTTTTTTATGAGCAGAGAAAAAATGTTCTAAACGGACTAACCCTAATGCTGTGACTTTTGAAGCATACTTTGACCTGGAATCCAATGCTGACTGACCACAATCTAAAGTACAAATTGCTGGAGAGATGAAATCTGATTATGAACGTCAGCAAGACAGTAACTTTACAGTTCTCTTGGAATACTTAACTGGTTGGCAAATATCTTTTTATTAACTGCTTCGAACATCAGCTGGAAGAAGCTGTCTTGGTTTGATAGCCTATTCCTGCGCGTCTCTGTGTGACTGTAGAACACATCTGCCTCGCAGCCCAACAGGAAAAGGGGAGCTTTGAGACGACAATCTCGCCTTCAGGAAAGTCCTTCCGACTGAGTTGCACCGTTAGTTGCAGCTGTGACAAAATCTGCATGAAAGATTTATGCAAATATGATTTTTTTTTTACGCAAATACGCAAATACAGATCAGCCATGATCCAATAGAATAGCAGAACAGGCTCGAGGGGCTGAATGGCCTGCTCCTGTTCCTATGGTTGCACACTCTGGCTGATTCTTCTCTCCCTCTGGATTTTTCAAACTGATTTCATCTAACCCCGTTTCATTTGTTTATGATATTCATAAAAGCTAAACCGCCAACAGTGATCAACTATTTTTATCTTTTGAGATCCCTTCTGCAATGTACACAAAGTATAGATGCCTATATCATGCCCTTATAAGCAAACATTCTATATTCATTCACTCAGAACTTTAATACTGTATTAAATCGATCAATGTAAAAGCTTTAGCTCCAGGCCTTTTTAAACGTTAAATCGTGTGACACTGAGATTAATTTTTCTCAGCCCCATGTGTTCTCATTGAGTTTCCTGTGTGTGTTGATTGCATCTTCCATGCGAGATATATGGTTCCCATTCCCTTTGTGAATGACTGACTGCACAGCAAAGCTCCTCGGAGTCTGAAACAAATGAACCAGCAGCACGTGAGGAAAGTGTATTTTCTAACGTTTTACAAAGCTAAATTTCTGGGGAGATTGACTGGGACGAGAAGACTGATGTGGTTGGGCTCAAAGAAACTCCTTGCCTTCAATGCATAAATACTCACTACGTCTTTGAAAGCAACTATTTCCGTCAGGAGATTTTTCAAAGCCTCACAATTTTTACATGAACTGTAAGGAAGTGATTGCCAGTGATGTAGTTTGTAAACCTTCATTTTAAAGACGAGAAGAAATAGACGTTATTGTGAGTAAAAATAGGCGTGAATGTATTGGCTGGACTTCTTATTCTCTCCCAGTTGTATGTTTGCTGCAGATCTGGAGTTGGGCATTTCCATCCCCACTTTAGTGTGCTGCATGCGGTCATGGTCCAGAGGGATGCTGGGATTTGGCAGTGGTCAGCACGAGCCTTCCAGACCTTGTGATCAAGGAACTTTCCAAAGTTGTTTAATTTTCCTTCATTGAGATTTAGCATTTTTTTGAAAGCGAATGTTTGTTTTGTTTTTTTCATTTCCAGCCAAGGCAATAAACTCTGCAGGAGAATAAGATTACCTCTGATCCATTCGTGTTCTCCCCCCCCCCACACCCCCCACCCCGTCTTGGCAGTTTGCTTGATGAGCTGCAGCATTTGGGAGAGTGCACCTAGATGCTGTGAGAATGAAAAGCATTGCGCAATTGGTTGCCGCGTTTCGCCCACAAAATACAGTCACGACACTTAACTGTGAAGCGCTTTGAGATGTCTTGAAGTCGTGATGAGGTGCTCTATCAAATGCAAGGATTATTATTATTGAGTCAATCTTTTCACACGGTTGTAATGGTTAACTATTGCTGATCGGAAGATGAATGTGGGCTGACTAGTGATTTATCACTGACATCAAATACAGTAAACTAAGAGTTTTCAGGATTGATATGAATTGTCCAGATGTGCAGAAAATGGATTCTTTCCTCCATCCCAACACTGTCCTGAATCCTTACATTAGTATCCAAACATTGGGAAAATAAACTGTCTCTTTAGATGTTCTGCCAACACTCAAACACTAAACAGAACCAAAAAGAAGCTGAGTTATTTCTGAAAATATCAAAATAATCCAATTACTAAGAAAAAGATGTGGAAAGGAATCAAAGCATGTCCAAGAACTCATCTGAAAATAATAGATATGAAAGAATCATGATTGCCTTTCATTTTTCCTATAAAATGTTCCCATTCTTCAAGAGGCTCAGTTGGCAGTTGACTGCTGCGTTCTTCCCCCTCCGCAGTCTTGACTGACACTCCAGTGCAGAGCTGAGGGAGTGCTGTTATCAGAGCTGCTGTGCTCTGGTTGAGGTATTCAACTGACCTCCCATCTGCCTGTTCAGGTGGACGTTCAAGATTCCATGAAATGGTTTGAAAAGAGAAGAAAGGTTCTCTCCGTGTCCTGGTCAACAATCCCTCAGATACAATTGCTTATTCATTTCGTGGCTGTCTGTGGGATATTGCTGTGGGGAACTTGGCTGCTGTGTTCGCCTACAAAATATACAGAATTGTCCTGAATAATTTATTCATTGAAAATGTGTTTTGTGAAGCCTAATTTAAAAATGAACAACACCTTTTGCTGTGTTTAGCCTATCACCACACCGGCAAATTGAAGTCACAGAGCATTAAAAGTATCTGCCTTCCTATCTTTTCTTCTCTGCCTGGCATCGATGGGAAGAAAGGTACAGTTCCATTTGTGTTAGTGTTATTTTCTTTTCCAAGAAAAATCACAGGCCCAATTTGTCTTAAAATGAACCAATGTATAATTACTACCAGTTATAAACCTAAAGATTTCTGTTTCCTTACAAACAGAAAGGAAGACGAGCAGGAAGACAGCGAGAAAGAGTACTGAAGACGCCAAAAAGACTTTTGCCCCCAGGATCCTGAAAGATCTAACTGACCTGCAAGTTATGGACGGCAGTCAAGTGAGAATGACCATACAAGTGGAGGGTAAGTGGCAGCACGTAACCCTGAGCAAAGTGCTTTCAATCAAGTGATACTCATTTTAAACACGAGTGGTAGAGGTATCATAATCCATTTAATTTGTAATTGACAGCCACTTCAGAGCGAGGGCCTTCCATCCAGGCACAAGGATTGAGCCACCTGTTTACATTGCAGTCAGGAGAACTCGTGTTATTTTATGAACTGCCTTTATGAAGTGGGATCCGATTACTTTCCTCAGAGGAATTGCGCTATGGAGAGTGTAAACATACAGTTTGCTGGGAAATTGGAGAAGTAATGTAAATGCTGTCTGGCACAGAGCTTCCTCTGGCTGTGAAGTGGGCAGTGAGGTCTGAAATGCAACCTTCACATGTTGGTGCAGGGTGAGGCTGGCTGGCAATTGAAAATATATTTGTACATTTTGCCTTCTATTTGTGTTTATCTGGAATTCAAACTGGTAATGAAACCAACCTTTCTAATGGGATGATTACATAAATTGTTCAGTGGCCTCTTGAATCTGAATATGCGTGTTAGCCATTGAATTTGGGTAGGATATGGGCTTGCTGCATGTATCTAATAATAATAATCTTTGCATTTGATATAGCACCTTATCACTTCGTTGAGACGTCTCAAAGTGCTTCATAGAATATATCGTGAAGTGAATTGACTGTCCATTTGAGAGGGAAACAAATACGTATATAATTTAAAAAATATGTACGCCTATATTGCCAAGTCTTAGCCTTTGCTTTACTGTTTAAGCTGTTTAGATAGATTGCTCTTAAGTTTGCATGTTCAGGCTTCTCCAATAAGCCTGCAATAACACAGATGAGGTGGTAGATAAGCATTTGCACACTGGATCTATTAATAGTGGATCCACACGAAGGTCCGATGTCTACTTTGCAAGTCAAACACTTCTGTTGAAAGAATGTCCCATATTGTGGTGATTTACTGGGGAGCTGGTGTGCACAGGCATCTTCCTGAGAGAGCCACAGCATCACTGGCGAACGACACATTATTCGATCCTATCGATGTGATCCGAATTTGTCAAAAGTGACTTTGAGATCCTGGACACCATCTTCACTATTCCTATTCCCCTTGATATTGTAAAAAACACAGAGGACAAACTCCTAACTAAATCTGGAGATTATTACATGCTCTCTCCTGTGATCGTGATGTATAATTAGCCATTCTAGCTATTGGAGCCAATTCCGAGGCTTTAAATGTCACAAGGCTAATTTGCCTGAACCTACAAAGCGTGTTCCTTTCCAAGACAGGAGACGCTCTCTTATGTTAGGATGTTGGCACTGGTTACAAGTTCCAATGCAGTGCATGCAAACAGCACAGACTTTCATTACAGACTATATTAAACGATATTTGCAAATCAGAAGTCATTGCGTGTGACTTCCTGTTGGTGAATGTCATTTGGGCGATAGATGGTGAAATCTGTTACTTGAGTTATATTTAACTGCTTATTTTTGGACATTGCGACTTGGGAATTTACCATTCACAAATCTCACAATACAAATGTTGCAAAAGATTTCTTTTGTAAATACTATATCATATTTTTGGCCCCATTATATCAACAACAAATTACATTTACGCAACAGCTTTCACGTCAGGAGGACGTCCCAAGGTGCTGGACAGTCAGGAATTTGGACCTGAGTTGGGGGTCGGAATTAGGAGGGGTGGAGTGCAGGGAGGGTGGGGGGTAGGAGGGTGACCGAAAGCGCGGTTGAAGAGGAGGGTCTTGGAGATGTGCCTTGATTGAAGAAACCCATGGACTGTTGGGAGTGGAGGGCAAGATGGGGCCAACAAGTTCTGTCTGCATGTTTAAACACTGACACGAGTGAGTGGCATCCAATGCCAATACATTTCATAAACAACATCAATGGTGGGATCAGTGGTGCAGCCCTCTTATGTTCACAGCAGCTACATTGATATCTGAGTTTCTGCAGGACAAAATGTACCATTTCGAGGTGATCTCACAAACCAATGCCATTTTCCTGGTCAGTTAACGTTTCAGCAGCGTTACAGCCCAATTTTAGTCCTGGCTTGAGACGAACTCGACACAAGATGACACAAATGCAAAATATGCAGTAATTGTGGTGTTGATCAATTGCATGGTGACCAGAAAAAACATGCGAGGCCATAAGCCCAAACAATCTTTCCAAAACAAATCTCTCTTCCCAGAAAGCAGGCGCTTACCTAATTAGGGGTATTTTTTAAAAAAATGTGCCATGGTTTGTTTAGAATGCAACATCCCAATCTGGGAATTAAAAGCCAGAAAAGTACATTGATGGCTTAGATATAACCACTGGAACATGGGATGATGCTTTAATAATTTCCTCCTTTTCATCTTTGTTTACTGAACCGTATTTATTGCCACTGTTATGCACAATTTCAGCAACCAGGTTTGGTTCTGGTTACTCAACAAAGCACTGTGGCTCCACCGGCAGTTTTTAAAACAATGTTTAAAAAAAATTCTAGGAGAGGAAATGTTCTGAAATGAATGTCTCGAAGACGTGATACAGTGCTATATCAAAGGCAAGGATTATGATTATTATTATAAATGGTCCACTCGATGCATGAGGTGTTTATAATAATCCTCACATTTGATACAGCGCCTTATCACGTCATGGAGACGTCTCAAAGCGCGTCACAGAATATACTGTAAAATGAATTGACTATTTTGTGGGCAAAACACGGCAACCATTTGCGCACAGCTCTGCATTGGAGATCATGTAAGGGAAAGGTTTATTTCTGAGAAAAGAGAAGTGGCTTCTGTGAGGGGCTTCTGGTAGAATTGCAAGAAGAAAGAAGACCGAGGTCCATCCAGTTTGCTTTCCACCATCTTGGCAGTCACATGCACATGTCATGTCCCAAATTATATACTGTATCACCAGTTAAACCGGACACAAGCCCTGGTCTTCACACCTTAGTTTCACTCAAGGCAACACCGTTTATCTATTGAGTTGTAACAATGCATTCAATGGAATTTCACAAATAATGTGAATCTTACAAGTGTCGTTCCTGATTAAGTAAATTGTTCCTCAGCCACAAAATCCAGCTTTAAGATATTTCTGGAGTTTGAAATTGGCCAGACCTTAACATGGCTGAATTCTGCTTTGACACTATTCAGACCTGATTACCATCTCTGAGTAATATTTTCCACATAGTTGGAAAATTCTGATCTGAAAATCGCTTCTTAATTCTTTTAGTTTCTGTCACTTGTTTTCTAGAACTAACACAAGTGTGTTGATTTTTTTTTTAATATATCAGCTAATCCAACTCCCGAAATTATCTGGCTCCACAATGGGAAAGAAATCCAGGAATCCGAGGACTTTCAATTTGAGAAAAATGGAAATGAATACAGTCTTTTTATTCAAGAGGTCTTTCCTGAAGATACAGGAAAATACATGTGCGAAGCTTGGAATGATATTGGAGAAGTGCAGACTCAGGCAATGCTAACTGTGCAAGGTAAGCTTTCAGTCATGTCTAATAATAATAATCCTTGCATTTGATGTAGTGCCTTATCGCGTCCAACACGTCTCAAAGTGCCTCACAGGATATACTGTTCCACGCACAGATTAATCGGCAGCTCATTTCTCAGTGCTCCATGTAATCTGGGTCAGACAATGAAATCATATGTGAAACTTTCCCTAATTTGGTTTGAATTGCAGTGATGGTTTTCTATGTGTGTCAGATACCAAACCCATCGAAACAAAATCAACAAATCTCATTTGAAATCACCATCAATTATAGACGCTGGCGGTAACATTAAAATGATTGAAGTGTGCTCGGAGTTGGTACTAGTGGTGCTATTGATGACGGTTTGGGTTGTTCCTATATTTTTTTTCTCCACTTTCCTCTCAGCAAGATGACAACCTCCCAATAAATATTAAGTGCTTGTAAATTTACACCACAATATCAAGGTTTAAATAGGCTGTAAAGAGTCTCAAGAGATGGGGAAATTCATGTGGAAAATAATTGTTCATTATTGTAGTTCCAGCCAATAATAACACCCACTTTTTTTTAAGAGGCTGTTTATTTTGTCAAATAAGGCTCTTCTTGTAAATTATGTTCTGCCCGAGGCTCTGTTTTTAATATTGTTGAGTTCTTTTTCTAACGCATTTGATTTGCTTTCATGAACTTCAAAAGTACTTAGTCTGTGAAGATGGATTACTTGTGCGGTGCCAATACAAGAATAACGTCACCTAATTCTCTGAAGTTATTAGGGCCTCATCATGAGATATTCCTCCACTCTCTGAATTATGTTATGCTCTGTCTTTGAATATTAAAGTTAACATTGATAATCACATTCACATGATTTTCAATGACACTTGTACTGAAATGACATCAAAGGGTAAGGAAACATACTATTGTAATTTGCCGATGCAAGGCCTTAGTCAGTTGTAATGAGCTACAAATGCTTTTACATCAACAATAATATTTAATAATCCTTGCATTTGAGATAGCACCTTATCATGTCAATGAGACGTCTCAAAGTGCTTCACAGTATATATTGTAAAGTAGATTGACTTGTGTATTTTGTGGGCGAAATGCGGCAGCCAATTGCGCACAGCAGTGTCCAACAAACAGTCGTGGGTTGCGTGACCAAATTGATTTATTTTGTTTGGGAGATGATTGCCCCCAGAAAGCGATCTGCCAATCCACAAACAACCGGGTTCCTATTTACTGCTGAGTAAACAGAGGCGTGTGGAGTGAGGAAACTTATCGATTTCTTAATATTAATGAATATTTCTTGCACTGTAGAGCCTCAGGATGGGATACAACCCTGGTTCATCAGCAAACCCAAAGCAGTGACGTCGACTGTGGGGGCTCATGCTCTAATTTCCTGCGCAATCGCTGGGGACCCATTCCCACAGGTGCAGTGGATAAAAGATGGGCAAGCAATTGCCATCGGTGAAGATTGTGAAGTGCTGCAGAACGAGGATGTGTTCACACTGCTGATCAGGAACGTTCAACTTCACCAGGCTGGACAATACGAAATAATGCTCAAGTAAGTTTGCATGACCATTTGCACAAAGGCATGGTATTGTATTCCTAAGCCGTGTATATTAAATCTGACTGCAAGTGCAAATGACTATTATTTAAAAAATATACACTATTTGGGCTTATATGAAGGTCCACATAACTATTTAATATAAGGCAAGTCAGATAGTCCACTGCATTAAGTTACTCTTCCAGATAGTCAATTATCTAAGTCGACAATTTGACCCTTTTCTGTCAAAGTCCACTATTCAGCCTTCAGCGACGGAAAAACGGTCTGTTTGGAGAACTTGGGCTGGCAATTGCTGCTGGTAAATGGGGTTGAACACTGAATTGTCACTAAACTCGGAGCTGGTCAAAATTGGTCCAATTCAGATTTGTGCATAAGAATGCAACTTGGCTCATTTCAGACAAATTTGAATTAATGTTGTTTGGAATGGGTAGTTGTTGGAGCATGGATTTTCTGTAAAGCACATGTCCCTCTAACCACATTCAGTCTCATTTTCTGGCAAATGTTTAAGTGGCAGATGTTAGCAATCAAATCAGATAGCCTTCAGATTACCATTGTCCAGCTGACACACTACCTTGGTCAAGTGTTGGGAGTGTTGCAACACTGTTGGAAGGATTCCTCACCTTGAGCGAGGGTAGAGTTAAGGGGAGAACATTTAAGAGGAATAAAAATGTTTCAAGCAGAAAGTATTTAGTACAATATTTAATCAAATAAATGCTTTGAAGACCTTTGGCACATTTGTTGGCAAATGAAATGGTGACACTTTCATTCAAATGTGACTTTTGATGGTTCCCCTTAGGAGACTGAACTGAGCAATTGTTTTGATAATAAATAATAACATTCCTTCCATTTGGTATACTGCCTTACGCTTTTATATCTGAGCAGTACTGAAACCAGCTGCGAATGTAAGCCTAAACCCAATGTGAACTCGATCAATGACTAAAATCAGAAAGGATCATAAGTCTGTTAAAGCAACACGAATGTGCTGGAGTTCATTTCTTCAGCTGAGAAAGAGTTAACAGCTTGATTATAGTTCAATCCACAAATCTGATCCCTCTGATTACAATCAGCTTGTTTTTAAACTTCCTTCCATGATAAGCAGTTCACTGTATGTGGACCCAAGCTGCTTTTTCTCAGTTGTTTGCTCATACTGTGATGCCCAAGATAACAAATCTGCTTCAACGGCAGCGCCCGAATTAATAGGATTACATTTTTCTTTGGTAAATTTCAAATGCATCTTCAAACACCTTTTAATAGTCATTGTTTTATCCCTATATTTTTTTCCCCCTCTCGTCTTAACTATATATTCTTCCTCTTTTGCTTTCAAAAAAAAAAACCCGTCAGGAATCAAGTTGGCAAATGCAGCTGCCATGTGTCTTTGGTGGTCATAGAGGGCTCGTTTCCTCAAGATGAAGCCCACATCGAGTAAGTATGATTCCCAGGGACTACAAAAGAGATCTTCTATTTTTGTGCTGCTGTTTCCAAAGACTGTCAGATCCAATCTGGAAGAGGTTCAAAATTAATCCCCAAAAGTGACCAAGCAAATTGTTTACATCACACAGCTGTGCTGTAGTACAGGGCCAGAGAAGTTGGTCTCTCTTTTATTCATGCCCTTATATGGTTACTGAAGTCATCAGTGATGCAGTACAGTAATGGATTGTGTTCCAGTAATCAGCCTTCCCTTCTATAAACATTCTTGTATCAAGCCCCAGATTCTGTCCAGCTTTTAAACCAGCCTCCCTTCTAATACCTTCCTTCCTCTGCTGGTAACAGTAACAAGGAGTCAAAGGCCGGCCTCCTTCAAGACGAAGAGGAAGGTGGTGGTAATGGCATAAGGAAGTTTGGCACAAAGAAGACAGTAGAAACAACAGCCAGCCCCGAGGAGCAGAAAGCATTCGGTCGAGTGCTGAGGAGAAAAGTTGAAACCAAAGAACGGTCTGAAGAGCAATTGAAGCAGCTCGAAGCTGAACAGAAAGATTTCCGCAGCGTGCTGTGCAAGAAAGTGATCACCAAAAGCCTTTCCGAAGAAGAACTGAAGGAACGAACGGCAGAGCAAATGAGCTTCCGAAAGTCCCTTTCCCCACATGTTAAACCAAAGGAACAGTTCGAAGATGGAAAGAAATTTTTAGGGCCCCAACAGGTGGATTTTCGGGCAGTCCTGGGAAAGAAGACTATTCCCAAGATACCACAGGAAGCAAAAATTACATCCAAGCCAGCCCAGCCCGACTTCAGGAGTGTCCTAGCATCAAAGAAGAAAGGTTCTGCTGAAAAGGAGACCAACAATGATACTGAAAACATCCAACCTGCAAAAGAGGACTTGAATGATAATGTGGCTTGTGACCATGGATGCCTGTGTGTGGATGGTGAGGTTAATGAGAAACCCAAAGGTCCTAGCAGCGCACCAGTCTTAAAGGAAGCGTTAAAGGATGTTCAGGTAGCAGATGGTGCACGTTTGGTGCTGCAATGTCAGGTTGTGGCTGAACAATCCCCAGTGATCACCTGGACTGTAGATGGAAAGGCCGTCAAGTCATCCAAGTTCATGAGTATATCTCGAGAAGGTAACTATCTCCAAGGAATAGATTTAAATCAAAGTCTTAATTATCGTCCCACTAGCACACTAGGTTTACGTTAACATTTTAAAACCTTGCAGGTGCTGTAATTTAGAGTAATATTTGTTTCAATGTTACATTGGCAAAACTTCAGTCTCTATTTTATCTTTCAAAGTTTAAGGGATGATTAGAATTTTTTTTCTTCACTGGATATTTAGCATGCAATTGATCATTATTAATTTCGCTCTTAAAATATTAAAATAGTGTCCGGTTTATAGCTCTGATTTCTAATATTCATTTTGATTGCAGTAGATGTCCGGAAACTTTTGAAGTTTATGACTTTGTAGGTTGATAATTTCTAATTTTGTTGACTGATTTGAAGGTTGTGTTTGAATCTTTGCTCAAAATCCCTGCGGACATTGGTCTTTCACAAGCTTTTATTTGTGCCAGGATCACTGTGTACATTGAATATTGAGGCAGTTCTTCCTGAAGATGAAGGCCAGTACAAATGCATAGCTGAGAATTCTGCAGGGAGAGTGGAGTGTGCTTGTTTGGTTTCTGTGACTGGTAAGACTATTTAGCAGCATGGGAACTCTCTGAAGCTTCGTTCCCTTGCATTTAACCCTGTTTCTCCTTTTTCCTGTTATTAAGCCGTAACATTAAGTACTGAATTCCTTCCTCTAGTCTGCCAACAGAAACAATAACCGACTGAACATTAAACCTGATTTTCTCGTAGCCTAGTTATGTAAATGATGCAAAAGTAAATAACCAATGCATTTTCTGATCTGAGAAAATTAAAAGTAAGAGCGGGTAGATAATAAAAATTAACTGTTTGATAACTGAATATACGCAGATGGAGGTTTCGTTATTTTACACGAGCCCAAACAAAATATTTTATAATGATGATGATTGGGTTTGGGCAAAGTACTGATATCCAGAGAAAATCCTCCCAATCTATATAATCTTCTCTGTGAATCTATAAACAACACAAAGAGTTAAGCTGGTATACTCAAGATAGACTGAGTGAATTTATTATGTAATTTGTAATGTACCTTTCGAACGAGCGCATTTTAAAGCAAGCTGTGTAATCCCCATACATCAGAGGTTCAGTGATATTAGACTCATCAGTCAACCCAATTTATTTATTTCTGTCATTGTTTTTCAGACCCAACCACACCTAAGACACCCAAAGCTACTGAGAAAAAATTGAAAAAGGTCAAATCGAATATCATCCCCACTTTAGATACTGACTGTGGTGAGTTTAAGTCATTTATTCAACCGGTTTCCAAATAAGGAATGGCTTGGGTTTCCAGCTATTTTCTCATTAGTTAAAGCCTTTTCACTGAAGAAACTGCCATATGTGCTACAAAAACACTGTGTTATTTTAACCTCTGGCACAGGACATGTGAATTTCTCCTTTGACAAAACTATGCTATGAATGTTGACTCTAAAACTTTTTAATATAAAAAGTCTGCTGCTTTCTATGTTAACACAATGTTCCTCGATTATAAATCTGGGCTTTCATCTCATTTTAAAAAAAAAACAATAAATAAACAAAATGGGATCTTTGAAAACCATGTTTTCAAGAAGGAAAACCCTTTTAGGCAATATTTGGTGAAACATAACCTATATTGCTGCAAGCATGTTTTAATTGACTTATTAATGGAGAAGTCATTCTAGAGAAAACACTTATTAGGCATTTCGTTTTATGCCAACAGCAAAATTCAAGAAGGCCATTACTCTCCGTAGAGGATTCACTTCATTTACACTGACTATAGAATGTAACTATCAGAATTCTTGCTGAAATATATTGTGGTGTATATGATCTTGTGCCAATGAGACCAAGGGTACTGATAGTCTACGTAATAATAATCCTTGCATTTGATATATTGCTTTATCACATCTTTGAGACGTCTCAAAGCGCTTCACAGAATATACTGTAAAGTGTATTGACGGTATTTTGTGAGCGAAACATTGATCGACACTGACTGGTACTTCTTGTTCAGAAATGGGCCCTGAAATGGAATAACAGCCATCCTTTAAAACTTACAATCTACATTATATTATGCAGGTACTTAAAAAAAAGTGATTTCAAGGCTGTAGTGGTATCTTGGAACTCAGATTATGGTTAATTTCACTTGACAATTGAAGTCTGATGTTTTATCATATTGTGGATTACATTTTCAATCTTCACTTTTGCAGTAACTGTCTAGACTAAATCCCTTGTTGAGATTGGTACCTTGTATAATCATTGCCAGCCCTCCACTCTTCTCCATATAAACACAGCCTTTAAAGTGAATAATTCTGCCAGGGAGCTGAGGTTTTGCTCATTGTCTGGGAGTGAACCAGATAATGAACAAAACATTCACATCCTGCGAAGTGTCATGATGTTAACCATGTGTACAGAAACGTTCACAGTCTTTACTGTTGGTGCTCTTCATCAATTTCACCAGATGCTTGTGTTTCCATGTGGCCCACTCTAGGCTACAAGAATTAAGTCGCTAGTCATAAAATGGATGAATCTGTTTAGAACCTGACTAAATTGGCAAATACAGGTCACCGAGGTGAAGGATACTTTTGGTCTTGTTTATCAAACAACTTAGCTATTCTTCTTATGCTCCTTTGCTTTTCTTTTGCTGCAGTTAAAATATAACGAAAACATATTGCATTTACACGGCGCTTCTCATGGCAGGAGGATGTCTCAAGGTGCTGGGCAGTCAGGGATTTGGACCTGAGCAGGAGGTTGGGATCGGGAGGGGTGGAGGGTAGGGAGGGAAGGGGCAGGAGGGTGACCGAAGAACGCAGTCAAAGAGGAGTGTCTTGAGACGTGCCTTGAAGGGAGGCAGGGAAGGGAGCGAGACAAAGAGATTGTGGGATGCAGTTTCAGACGGTGGGGGCAGAGAAAAGAAAGCCTCTACTTTTCTTTTAACATAACAGGCATGATGTTTTCCTGGAAAAGACATTTGTCTGGGTTTTACTGTTCCATTAGTTCCATTTATGCAGGTCACGTTACATGTGTCAGGATATCAACACCTAATAAAGACCTAACCTCAAGCATGGTCAGATGGTGTTTTAAGCAAAACAGGACAATGATGGAGACTTTGTGCAAGGGAAGTTTGCACATATATCTTATATATTTATGACTTTTCCCTGAGAATCTGTTATTTCACCAACAAAAACAACAACTTGCCTTTATGTAGCGCCCTTCATGTGGGTCAGTGTCCCGGAGCTCCTATTTCCCGAAGTCACAAAAAATAAACTTTGCATTGAATGTTTTTTAAATAGCCGACAGACGTCCCGTATATACTGGAGTGAATGCTCCTATCACAGGGCTGGTTCTCCTACTCATGACTAGAGGACTAACGCTCAAGTCCACGATGCCAAATCCAACAATTCCCCAACTGCAACTGTGAGCCAAGTGCTAAGTGACAGTAAAATTTTATTGCAGCAGAATGCTGCTCTCTGAACAGGCAGTACTTTTAGACTTTCCGTCTCATGCATTCCTTCACCAGCAGGTTATAAAAGTGCTTACCATTTGTCAGGGAGGGTACTCAGTCAGGTGGGGAGTCTAAGATGGTTGGGGAGCTGTTAACATTGAGTGTTGCTGGAAGAAAGTAAATAATCTGCGGGGGTGGGGGTGGGGGGAATTTGTTAAAACATTGAACAGTATGTTACTGGGGTGGGGGGATGGGGAGGAGAACTCCACTTTGAGGAACAGTTAGAGACAATTTAATCACTTGTAGAATCACATGCAGATCGTGCAGTTTGCTGATGTCTTCTCATTTATTTGGCCAAAATATGATGAAATCTAAACACAATGCTCTATCTCTGCTCTAATCTATGCTGCTCTGGTACTAATAAATGAGTAATAAATCATTTTTCTTAATCACAGAGTTGTAGCACTTTTCCTCTCCACTGGCATTGCTTCAAATTTGCAAGGATGAAGTCCAAAGGCTCGGTTTACTGAATAAAAATGAACTGGGAGGTCGTTTCGAGAAAAAAAAGATTTCCCGAACAAGAGAGAACATTTGATTATCTTTAATGGCAAATCTATTTCATGAAGATACCATGTTGTTATTTGCACATTGTTCCTTTGAAATGGGTTTGGTATCTCTGGATAGCTCTGCCAGTAAAGGTCCTAATGGGTCAATCCAGTTCCTGAAATTCAAAGAGATAAAAAAGATTTCTAGCATTTGCTGTTCTCTTTATCTCTTTTGAAAATCGTTTTATCTCCGAAGTTGATACAATTCCAAATAAGGAAAATTCAGATCATTTTCGATGCTTCCAGTTGGGTGCAGATGCAGATGGTTCAGGGTATTAGATGATGTTATTGGCTGCTTTAAGTCAACACAGCGCCAGGATTTTTGAATTGCAGGGATCGAAGCTCCAAACTCCAGGAGTTAATAAGATCAAAGAAATACACTTATAATAATAATAATTATCATCCTTGCATTTAATATAGCGCCTTATTGCGTCGGAAGGACATCTCAAAGCGTTTCACAGGATATGCTGTAAAGTGCAGTGACTGTGTGTTTTGTGGGTGAAGTGTGAAAGCTCACCAATCTGAATTACATAACCAATTACTCATCTATGTATGTGCAAAAAAATTGGCAAAAGTTTAAAGAAAATAATGTGTAGGTTTTAATGTATACAAAGTGGCGAAGTTGATGATCATCATTTTGACTTGTAGACCCAGTTGGAACACCGCAGTTTTTGCTCTGGATTTTGCATGCAGCTTAATTTTTTTTTATTACTGGTCATTGCATTGTCATCTGCGTCCGTGAGTTTTCCAATTGCAAACGGAATCTGTCTCCACTTACTTCACCTTGGAATAAGTTGCTTTGTCTCCACTGAGCGCACATACACCATACATGGTACTTGGCAGCCTTGCACCTTTTACTTTGCTGCTGTCAATGCATTGCATCTGAAGGGAATCTTGAGCACTTTCTCCTGGTTATGGCTTATATTAATATAAACTGACACGAGTCGTTTGTGTCAGAGAAATTTGTAGGTTGTCAGTAAGTTAGGGAAAACTTGATAAACAAACCTCACAGGTGGTCACAGCCACTAGTATGCGCCTGTTTTAGCAAATAAAACATTCTAGAGCATATGAAATGTTTCAAATTGTTTTATTATAAGAGCATTTTGTGTTGAACAAGCTCAGAAGGACTCATTGACACAGGCAAATTGCACATCAAGAACCGTAAATAGAATAGAAGCTAGGGTGGTCTTTTGACTTATTCGTTTTGATGATAGTCAGTCAAGAAACCACCTTAGGTTTACATGAATTGTCTAACTCTCCGAAGAAATGAACTGTTTTATTTTAAAAGAGATAAATATTTTATACGGTATTTTTGCAGTAATTAAAAAAAACTGTTTGGGATGTTTCGGTAACTGGTGACATAGGAACAGGAGGAGGCCATTCAGCCCCTCATGCTTGTTTCGCCATTCTATTAGATCATGGCTGATACTTCAAGTTCAATTACAAAACGTCTTCCAGGGTAAGTGTCTAGAAGGGAGCAGCAAGACTTCAATACAACCGGGTTATTTCAGTGGAAGTGAAGTATTGCAGTGCAACTCGTGCATTATTTTGTTATATGAACTCACAGCTTACTGCTCTTGAAATGAAGATTTGAATGAAAAGGATTTGGGTTGGAGAGAATAGAGTTTATCTTAAGAAGACTATAATTTAATTGAGGGGTTGTGGTTAAGCTAGCTTTGAAAGGATAATATCACCCATTTGAAATCCTTTATAAAGGGTTTTGAAAAAATATCTCGCTGTTGTTTTAACATGGTAACTGATGGGAACGCTTTTCACTTGCTTGATATCATTGCGATGTTTCTTATAAAAGAATCGAATCAGCCTGGATAGCTGTGATTGAAGGGGATATCTTCTGTTGTCTGTGAGTGAATTTGGAAAGTCTCGACCTGGTTCCCATTGAACATGAGCTATGCACAAACTGCCCAAAAGCTACGCAAATTGGCGCTGAACTTGCAGTTTCACTCGATGAGGCCACAGTCATAAAAGGTGTGTGAAATGAAAAAAAGTCACATGTTTTAGTTCCCACTCTTTGAAGCAATATTAAGCTGATGGCACTGGGTCTGGCTGGGATAGATGGAGTTTGTTTTGTTAACGAGCAATTTAGAGAAATATTTTAAATGAGTGTGGGAGTTGCCAGCGATGATTACTCAAATCAAGACATAATCCATCAAGCATTCTTTCCTTTTTCTCAGCATACAGTACAGAAATTGCTGTTACTCAGCTCCTTTTGCGAAGGACCTTACATTGGATTAAATAAGTGTACATGAGTTACTGAAGACACAAAGATACCTAGAATATACCTTGTACGTAGACTGAAATGAATAACTACAATATGTCGATCAGTGATCTAAATGGAATCATAAAATGGGCTACGGTCATTTATCTCTTATGCTTAGGATAGTGCAATTGGTGTGTTATAAATTATCTGCAGGTGGAACAAGACGTGGCACCTGGAATAATGGCTGTTTCAAATTCAGACATACTCCAATATTTCCTCCTCCCTCCAATGTTCTTCCATTCTAAAAGTGCTGCCTTTTGCTGTACTCTGGGTCTATAGGTGCTGATCCTTATTTGTGTATTAACCTAGATAATAAGGATAGATAGACCATGCAGGTATGGTATCCATCAGTTTCTGTTGAATCTGACCTCGCCTGACATTCACACAGATGCACTTTCCAGCAGTAGTTATTGTTTGTTGAGCACAAACAGGAAATTTACTTGATTTCTTTTCTTTCTCTCTCTCTCTATGCTAGCCCACAACCCTAAAATACCAACCAATTAGCATTCCAGTGAGATTAGTACAGGCAAAAGATTTGAATTTCCTGAACTGCTTAAGATGAGCTCTATCTGAAAGGACAGATGAGCATTTATGGACTTTCCTTGATCTCCTTCAAGACCGGTCTACCTTCCTCTTTAACTGAACCTTCGGTCATTCTCCCATTCCCACACCCCTTGTCCTCTACCCCTCTTGATTCCAACCCCCAGCTTGGGTGTAAAGCCTTGATTAACCAGTGTCTTGGGACATCCTCCCAACATCAAGGATGGGATATAAATGCAAGTTGTTGTTGCTGTAGTTTGAGGTTAGCAGGTTACTGTCTGAAGTAGAGGTTAATTTCAGATGCCATCCATGTTCAATAAAATGTTCCTATTGAAAGCTTTTCTCTGACATTTTACCAGCCATAGTTTTACAGTGTTAACCTAATTGAAATGTTATCAAATAGTTAAATATCTAGGTTACTCAAAGTAAAAAAAAAAAGTATTTTCTTTTTACTTTTCTCATTGTATAAGTTGAAGTTAAGATACTGGTATATCCTGAGAACCGATTGTGGCGTCAGTCACAGAATGCAAGTTAAGTATCGCTCGTTGATGCCTTTCTGTAATCGTTTATGATGAGAGCTTAAGAAATGGTACATTTGAACAGTTTCCTTGGCAGTTTGAGTTTGCTATTTTTAGTTTTACCATAAAAGGGCATCTCCCATGGATTCACGCTCTAGCCTTTACATGCTCCCCACAAAGTGTGAGCGAACAACAGACGCTAGTTAATCAAAATATTCCAAAAGCGAGTCCACTGCCCACCAGTAAATGTCTTGAACTGTTGAAATGGAAGATGAACTTTCAGTTAAATATTTTAAGTTAGATACATAATACATGCAAAATACAATGCTTTAGTGGTGCAGTGTATGGGAGGATTACCCTTGACTTTGACATCAGCAGGAAGTTTTCTGTCTGTCTTTACTTTCTGCCAGATGTTTTGGCTCAAGTTTCATCTGTTTAGTGAAAAAAGCCACATATTCAGGATTGAGCTACTATTTCGGGCCTGATTCTGCAAGAAAAGTCCTCGAATTTTTCTGCCAAGTGAAAACTGCTGGAAAATAACAGACTGGCAAAAGCTTTGAGAAATCGAGACGATACATTTCTAAATCCTACTTCATGTCCGTCAATTTGTTTCACCTTTTCCCTCGCAGAATTCTGGAATTGACGTATTGCTTTGAAAGGAGCAAACGGGAACTGAGAACCAAGCGTGTGTCAGTTTAAGGACGAGTTGTGCTGTTTTAAGACAAATGAACGTGGGCCAAATAATATTTCCACTCCAAAAAAGTGACAATAAATGCCCTTAAAAGTATGCCAGTGATGAAATATGCCAGTAATGACAGGACAGGAATCTGAAACACTTTAACCATTTTGTGGTTGAGATAGTTGTCTACCACAGGGTACACACTTAACTTAGCATCTCTTTGTTTTTGTTGTAATAATAATAATAATCCTCGCATTTGATACAGCGCCTTATCACATCTTGGAGATGTCTCAAAGCGCTTCACAGAAAAAACTGTAAAGTGAAGTGACTCTATAATTGGCGTTTTTTTCTCATCCCTTCCCCCCCCTCCCTGCTTGAGTGAGTAAAGAGTACAGTTATGAATTCACAAAATGAAAAAAGAGGCCAAGTTCTACTTTTGATAGTTTTGAAGATTTAAACGAAAATTTCCAAATTCTTCAAAATGTACCTTTATATTTTTACTTTAGCGGAGGCCACAATAAAGAAGAAACCAACACCGAAAACGACTCCCAAACCAGGTAAGGTAATCCTTATCGAGAGTAAATGTAACTTTTCCTCTGGTTATTTTCTATGCACTGTTGCTCTAACTTGCAACCAGTGAAATTTGATCATTATAATCTTGGTCCGTACAGACGTTTTAATGGAAAATTACCCTATCTCCATTTCTGTCAGTAGCTCCAAAAAAATCAACACTTGATAAAGAATTTCTTCATAGTGTTTCATAGTATTAGTCATCAGATTGATGGAAACTGCTCCTGGGGCCATCTGGGATATTTGTTAAACACCATCTGCCATTAGCTTTTGAGTTTAAAGGAATAAAGCAAATCATATAATAATAATAATAATAATAATCCTTTTGCATTTGACATAGCTCTGTATCATGTTGTTGAGACATCCCAAAGCGCTTCGCAGAATATATTGTCAAGTGAGTTGACTGGTATCTGTTGGAACTCATCCACCACTTGTGTAAGATGAATACGGTTCCCACTTCCTCACAAATGCTTTCAATGTGTGTTTTTTTTTTTTTTTGAACTCTCCAGTATGTAAAGGTGAATCGGCGAGAGCGAGATTGCTATGTCTTAACAACTTGTTTTGTTTTCAAAAGCTGCTGTCCCGCACGTACTGCAGTGTCCTGGAGATGTGAAAGTGCGTTCTGGGGAATCTGTGGAGCTGTTATGTAAATTCTCTGGAACGCAACCATTCAGCTATACTTGGTCAAAATTTAAACGAACGGTAATGTTTATACCTTTGGCTTCATACTTTCATAATTGCTGCAAGAAATGGGTTGTAAGTTGGCTTAGTATAAAATTAATGTGTGCCCCCTGTCCAGTTCTTGATAATAATAATCCTTTCATTTGACACAGTGCCTTATCACGTGATGTACAGAGTGCTGCAATTTGTCCTGCTTACAAAGTATAAACTTTGCGAATCTGCAGTGATTCAGCAAGTAATAAACATGATTAGGACTTGATTGAGCGGAATGAATAAATCAATTATAAAACCACAGATAGATTTCTTAATTCCTGAGTTCACCAGCCAGGAGAAATACCTATTCGACTGTAACTGCCTTGGGTCGAAGCCATTGCAATTTGGCAGCAGATAGGGCTGAAAGTCAGTAGTTTCCAAAGGAAAATGACCCAGAATAGTCGGGCAAAGGTGAAATGTCTTAAACTGGTTTGGTTGATTTGAGGGATCATATTATTATGTAGAGTACAAGAAGTCAGGCTTCCTTGGGCAATTGGGAAGGATTGTAACTTAGAAGTCTTTCAACGCATTCCTAAAATGAATTTGCCTTCTCTTCTGAAAGAGATCTTATTTGTGGGCAGGTAGACTGAGAATCATATTGATCAGACAGGGGACATTTTGAAAGCTGTAATCTGCTGTTATTGTGGGCTATTCTTGAGAAGAGTGCATGATAGCAATTCTTCTGAGAAGACAAGTAAGGGGTGGGGTCAGTAACTTGCCTGATTTTACTTGCCTGAAAGCAATTTGATTTCTTAAATATGTCCTTTATCCTCATTACAGATTGTAGAAAATGCTCATATAAAAATAGAAAACACTGACACCAGCAGCAAACTCATCATCCTCTCATCTAAGCCCGATAACTCTGGCTGTTACACTTTACTGGTAGAAAATAAGATCGGAAACAAACAAGTTCCTGTGAACGTCACAGTTGTTGGTAAGTCAACAAAGCCTAAATTTGTTTTTACAGCGTTATGTATATAGAATACTTCTGCTTAATACGATTTAAATACTTAATAGATATGAATAGACATTGCAAAATGTCTGATACATTAGCATTTGCATCAAATGCTTTGACTGAAGCCTTGAAGCGACCTTGAAGCTTTCACAAAGCAACACCCTGGTATTGATTTTTGTGCAATCATCCAGTTAGAAGCAGAAACGACAAATTAAATCGTCATAGTTTCTTTTTCCCCAAGACGAGAAATTAAATCCTTGTTACATGAGCTGAATAACTCGACCAGAAAAAAACGGGCTTTGGTTCTTGCCAACATTTACCTAATACTGATTGGATTTGGTAAGCAGGGTCCAGAGATAGAGTGCACTCCATTCCAGGTAAAGAAATAATAATAGCGCCTTATTGCGTCTTCGAGACGTCTCAAAGCACTTCACAGAATATATTGTAAAGTGAATTGACTGTATATTTTGTGGGCGAAACATGGCAGCCAATTGCACTCAGCAGTGTCTCCACATATGGCATACATATATGGAATGCTGTATAGTTTGTGATAGGTTTCTGCATTTGTCAGACCCCAATCTGGCTGAAAGCAGTCACTGGAGAGCTTTCACTGAGATAAGGACAAGTTAAGCCAGAAAGGGAGCAGATCCAAATGTTGTGGACCATTTAATCAATGTTTCCCACTGTTTTTCTTCCAAAGATACATAATATTACACCAAATCTATCTAAATATATTTAAGCCAAACCACTGATGTCTATGATGAAACAAGTTTCACTTTATTTTCCTCGTACACTCAAGTGACTAAACTACTATTTTATACTTCTGTTTGTTCATTAACACATTTGGAGAGTCCTGCTCTGATCTGTGAGATACAACTTTTAGAGGTCACAAACTAATGTAAGGTGTCTGTCTACTCTTGGAACTCTGTCTCTCATGAGGAAAATAAGAGAAACCGAATGAAAGGTACAGTATCGTGGCACTAAACTTGACATCAAATCCATGTCTTTCATAGGCAATTGATAAGCACAATTGTGGAGTGGTTGTTTAAATAAGTGGATAGCCAGGAGTGTGTTACGAGGCAGTAACACAGTTAAGGACTTCAAAATTATGTCATAAACCACAAGAGCTTCACTTTCACAGTTTATACAGTTTTCCGAAACCTGAGATGACGTGACTGCTTTGAACAAACCAGCATTTCGTATTTATTTTTAATAAGTTTTTTTTTTGAACTTTTTACTCTTTACGCTCAGTCACACTGCAATTTCAACATCCAGTGCAGTGAATGACTTGCTTTGCTGGAGTGTGGTAGCAAGTGTGTGGACTCGTCTCCAGCTTGTCCCTCGTGTCCTCCGTTCCACCGTCGGTGGTCGCACTTTCAGCCACTGCGCCCCGAAACTCTGGAGCACCCTCTCTCTATCCATCCACCTTGCCCCCTTCCTTCCCAATCTTCAGGTTGCGCCTTCCTCTTTGACCGTGTCTACGGTCACCGCCCCTCTACCCCCTCCCCTCCCCACGCCCCGGCACGGTTTGGTGCTTTGCCACTGTCAAGCGCTCCTGGGCGCTACCCTACATGAGGGGCGCTAAATAAATGCAAGTTGTTGTTGCTGTAGTGGTGGTACATTGACGGACTGAAGCAAGATCCCAATTTTGTACATCTGTGTTTCAGAAACCCAGCTGAGTCCTTGTTGGAATCTTCAGGCATTTTTTCAGGGTTATGTTTGCAGTTAAAATAACAAGAGATTTTTCCACTAAGGGACTGTCCTATAAAAAGAAAAGCGCTTAGAACAATCTTGCAGCGAGCAGTAAAAGTTTTAGGTAGCTGCGTCGGCTGAGAGGCAGATTTCAGTTATAGCCTTTTATGGCTTGTTTCTTCAAGTTGATTTATTTCTAAAGCGGGGTGCTGCCAATAGTGGCAGGATGGATTTTGTCCAAGTTGGCCTGTTGATTGCTAAGTGGCTTTCTGTGGCTCCAAAGCCCAGAGAAAGAAATTGTATTGGTTAACTGGTGTCTGCTCTTTATCTGTCACTCAAGCATCTAAACATCTAATCGTGTTTATGCATAAAAGGTTTCCTCGTGAAAGCGCAGGATTCCTAGCCTGTAATCCAAAATATTTCAACAAGTAATTACCTTAGTGAAATATCGAACTTGAATACCTTCATATAAAAAAAAAATACCTTTTTCTTTTACTTATTCTTGGAATGTGTTAGGGCCAGCGATTCCTGTCTGCCCCTAGTTCCCCAAAGGCCTCTTTAAAGTACTGTAGACCTTGTCTGTTTGGGGCTCCCACACTGTTGATGGTGTTAGTCAAGGAGTTTTGATCCAGCATCAAAATATGTCCAAGTTGGCATGTGGTGTGACTTGAATGGAAACTTGGAGGTGTTGGTGTTCCCAGGATGACACGGCTGTTTTTTTTTTTTCCTCTGGGTGGTGGCGGTCTTTGGGCTGGGAAAGTGCCACCAAGCTATATTTTTGGGTTACTGTACAGTAACACAGCAGCCATAAAGCATAGCGGTCAACATTCCATCACCATCTTGACTTGAACCTTGTAGATCTCTCAGAGAGTACCCAGTACCCGCTGACCCAGGATGTTGATGGAGGTTATGCTATTGGAATTCGAGGCAGGGGAGGGATCAAGGTGGCTGAGCTGCCTTGTTGGAGCAAGTCACTGCCAGACAATTATGTGACACAGATGTTAGCTGGATAGCGCCCAAGCCTGGGTGGTATTCAGACCTTACTGTGGCTTGGAGATGCTTCATTCTTCGTGTGTTGGGAATGGAGCAAAGAGTGCGTGGAATTGATGAATGGAAGGAATGTCATTGATGAAGCAGGTGAAGCTGGTCCTGCTCTGCAGGAGCCACCAAACCTGGCTATTTATTTATTTATTTATTTTGGTCGTCCGGGTGTCTGACACACGCAGAAATCCATCACCGTTGCTTAAGAGTCTTCAAACCAAACTGAGAATTCCAGTCATCCCACCTACACTATTAACTTGATTCCACAGCTTCCTTGGCTGAAAGAGGAAATAAAATGTGAAGGTAGGAGATAAAAATGAATGAGAAAATATACACACGTTTTAAAGAAAATCGAATTAAAGCAATAGTTTTATAGACTGGATTGGAATGGAAAACTTTCCTTACAGAATGACAGTCTGCTAAAGTGGAAAAAAGATCAATTCTCTAATATTTATGCAAAGGATAAACAATATGTTTTGCAAGAATTGTACTTACCACAAGTTTGGACACACTGAATCCTTTAAAATGGGTTAGACTTCGGATGCCAAATGATGGATCCAAATGTATTGCTTCATCCCACATGTCCAGTCGAATAGCAAACCACAGGCTAACCACTTTAACCACTGTAACCACAGAGGAGTAAACAGTTGAAAAAATAAATTCTAGATGAACAGAAAACATGTACATTTTTCTTTGCGTTAAGTTCTGATTGGGTTTGTTAAAACCTGATGCCTTGTCACTTTGATCATATTCCACAGATCACCCGATAACCAATAAAACATAATCCTCATATCTTGGTTATAGTTTATAATATAATCAGTGATGCATCGCTATCACATCATTGCCAAACTCTTGTTTACTAACCTGGCAACCTGCAATAATTTCACCCGACGATCGTGCTGTTTTGAGGCTGTTGTCTTGTACAAATTTGCGACAACACATTTTTTATCCCAGTTAGAGGCGATTTAACTTGTCCTGTGTCATTTTCATGCGACTTTTCTTAATATCTTTCTGTATCTTAATAAGAAATAGGCAATTATTGGAATTTATAAAACACCGTTGAAAATATTCATCAGCCTGTTCAATATTTTAGAGGTTTGATGTGATCTGATAAGAAATAAGTTGGACTACAACTCGATCACATGCCAAGTATCCAAACCTTCTCAATTACAGTGCAAAAAAAATAGTCCTTACTATTGCCAACAAATCACTCTCAAATCAGCATCCAGACTGTGTTGAGCAACATGGTTTCTGTGCTGAAATGGAGTTCACCAAGTTTTCTTGGCACTGGTCAGACAACAAGGCTTTCTAAGTGTTTCACGAGGAAAGTACTGATAGTATATTTTGATATAATTGATTGTGTATCCTGTGCCATATACTGGAGCAATTAGAAGAGTTTGTGCCAGGCTCAGTTGAGAGACCTTGAGAAATAATTTCTTATTCATTCACTGGAATTTTTCTCTACAAGGTTGTTTTTAAATTCAACGTTTTTTTTTGTCCTGGTTTTATCTCCTTCTAGGATTTATTCTGCTTTCCCCTGCATGCAAGCATGATAAATTGTGTTTAAAAATGCCTGACATGATGCAGGTGACCTTTTTAGGCTGCGTTCTGCGAATCAGCAAATTGTGGAATCGCAAACTTACTTACGACTGTGATACAATATCGTGGAAAGTCTTTTGTCTGAAATATTAAGCCGCGATGTTTGTTCTTGTAGCGCTTTTAAATCCCTGTCTTGCAAATTGCCAAAGAAAAAGTCTTCCACTGCATCTTAGGGAGACACAGTAATCTTCAAGGAATTTGTCTGTGGTTCATTTCCAAAGCAGTAAAATTGATGTGGGTAAACTGACTGATTTGATGTAAAAGTATTTTCATAAAGTCTCAGTGTCATTTCATTTCAAAACAGAAGTTGACTAAATCAGTATCAAAAAACCTTATTCAGGCTGAGAGACAATATTTTGGACACAACATGAATCAACTTATTAGTAAACACAGATGACATGATGATTATTTCAGTCAAATGCAAATATCAATTTCCCTTTACTTCCCCTTCCCTCAGAAAGGCAGATTACTCACCATCATTCTATGGATTCAGGAATATTGCAGATGTGATGGGTGATGTAGCCTCATCAAATGAAAAAATATGTTTGCCCCACGCATTAAGTTGGAAAGAAAAATCATTGGGTGTGGTCTGATGGAACATAAGGTTCCCCTCAGTTTCCTTCACCAGTGAATAAACTGATTAAAGCAACTCTATCTATCCGTTACAGTGTATTCTGTGACGTGCTTTGCGATGTCCCGAAGACGCGATAAGACGCCATATTGAACGCAAGGATTATTATTATTTCCCTTTCATGTTTACAGACAGGCCCGACCCACCCTCTGGAAAGCCTTGTTCATCGGATGTGCGCAGTTCTACGCTGACGCTGTCGTGGTACGGTCCCACGTATGACGGGGGAAGTGTTGTTCAATCCTACGTGGTGGAAGTTTGGAATTCAGTGGAGCAACAATGGACAGACCTAACCACTTGTCGCAGCACAGCTTTCTGTGTGAGTGACCTCAGCCCGGACAAAGAGTACAAATTTCGGGTCCGAGCTGTTAATGTTTATGGGACCAGCGAGCCTAGCCAAGAATCTGATTTGGTGAGAGTGGGAGAGAAAGAAGGTTTGTACTACTTCTAAGAAATTGAAGAGAATAAAATCGCCCCTTAAGTGATCTTCCCCGATAAGTACATCCTGTACGTGTTGTTTTCATTACCCACTGCTGTTTTAAGATCTGGGTTTCTTTTTACATTTGTTCCGTGTTTCCAGATAAAGACTGGACACAAGAAAGCTTTAAATTATCTCATACATTGGCTGCTTAATGAGCTTGAGAGGAAGTCCTGCTTTCTCACCAAAAAAAGTCTTTTGATTTTAATCGTGCGCTGCTGCTTACTTGTTATTCTGGCATTGGATTAGTCGATCGGTCATCAATGGATCATTTGATGCTTAAAAATACATCAATTGAAACTGAAGTTTATGTGCTTGGATGATACAGTAATCCTGTTTTGCCCCCTGTGAGTTAATAAAACTGAGCACATTTTTTTTCTGGAAAACGATTCAGTGGATTTTATACGTTAAATTGATTTCCCAATTGCCCCTTGTTCTTTTAACTCGATTTGCTCTTGTGTAAATGGTTTATTATGAACGGAAGTAACCATTTTGCCCCCAAAATACCAACAATCCACTTTACAGTATATCTATTAAGTGTTTTGAGACGCGATAAGTCACCAGATCAAATGCAATGATTCTTATTGTTGTGTTTTGTTTTCACTTAAGAACACAAGGAAGAGGCTGACCTGTCCGATGATGGTAACTATGCTTTTTTGCAGTGCTGCTAAATCTATCAATTTCTGTGTGATTTATTTCATTTTTTAACAACTTTTTTAAAAAAATTGCATTACAGATGAGAAGGAGAGCGAGCCAGATTATCGGGATGTAACAGTCAACACAACCGAGAAAGTCGCTGATTATTACAATATATTAGAGAAAATAGGAACGTGAGTGTGACAGTTACAACACTCATCCTCAGTTGATCTCTTTATCTGTTAGTTTGCTTTTACTGTGCTACTCATCAGGGTATTTTTCTAAAGAATTGACACTGGTGGGACCTGAATTTCAAGGGACACTTTTATCCAGAATTATTAAACGCAGATTTCTATCGGCTGAGCATTGCTGTTGTTTCAAACCTTTGTATGATTAAAGTAATATGAAAGCAGAAATATAACAAGTAATAATCATACAATGTCGTTAACTATCAAATAATATTCTGTAAAATGTGTCTAAAATTCTGTAAGAATATCTAAATAGTAATCGCTTGGTGATTGCCGACAGAATTGCCATTAATATTATTATTATGAAAGGACAATTTACTGGTGGGGAATTTTGAAAACTGCATGAAACTCCTTATCCACACCATTCTATATGTTTTTAAAAAAATCCCTTGGCTTATATGTGTGTCAAACATTTGTTTTGCTTTTAGGGGGAAATTCGGACAGGTTTACAGACTTTCTGAAAAGAAAACTGGAAAGGTTTGGGCGGGGAAATTTTTCAAAGCTTTCTCCGCAAAGGATAAAGAGAATGTGCGTCTAGAAATCAGCATCATGAATTGTCTGCACCATCAAAAGCTTGTTCAATGCATCGATGCCTTTGAGTCGAAGTCAGACATAGTCATGGTGTTGGAAATGTAAGTGTTTTATTAGATTATAAGCATCTCCACTGTCTACCACAGAGCAATTTTGAAGATGTTACTGAGAATTTAATTATAAAATCTCTGGGAACTGAGTGGTCAAGTAGCTTAGCACAACTTCCTGTAGTCTGCGGGTTCTTTCTGCGTGAAATGAGTTTGGATGTTGTCAACCCAGTGTTTGGTGACGATGTTTACAGTGTACTGCTTGCCAGCCTTTTACTTCATCACACACTATCTAGTGCATCCAGGATCCCACAGCTCTGCATCTTACAGATCAGCCTGTACAAATCTTCCTATTTTCCAACCTTCCACACTATGTTTGTGGGCCCATCATCCTGACCCCTACCTCCCTCCCTATCCCTCCACTATAACTCCAGCCTGCTTCATGCCCCCACCTCCTCCATTCCGCCATCGGTGGACAAGCTTTCACCCACTTTGCTCTGTCCTAAGGAATTCTCTCCCCAAATCCTTCCCTCTTTCCCTCTCACCCCTTCCCTTGGCTTTCAAATCCCACCTGAATACTTTTGTATAGTTCAATAGAAGTGAAAATTGTTGTTGCCAATAATAGAACTGAGCATAATACTGGCTCCAGTCTAGGAACGTTTTAGTGAGCTGTCAACATAACCTTTTATAAGACACAAGCTATGTTGCAATCAGTGGTTTTGGAATCTAAAATTCATTCCATATTTAGAAAAGAAGGTCTTTCATTTCGTTATTCTGACTGAACGAGTTTATTGTCTCTAACATTTCAGCAATATTAATATACAAAGTCTGACATACTTTGTATAAATGGGAGGACATTTTCTCCCTCTTATCTTTTTTCCTAAGAATAAAGACCTGCTTATATTTCCCTGTAGCCTGCTGATGGGTGGTACCTGAGTACCTTTCTGCCATAAGCAGTTTTCTTCTTGTTATCACTTTGTTTGACACACTCAGAGCTTTCTGTGTGATGAGCTGCAAGAATTTGCAAGTTTCTTGCTTCCAACTGTCCCTTAACGTCACAATAGAGATCTAGTGAATTCAACTACCAAGCTGTGCCGTCTCACCAGAGACTGGGATAACATGTTGTGTTGTCCCACAGAGTTTCAGGAGGAGAACTGTTTGAAAGAATAATCGCTGAGGATTTTGAGTTGACTGAGAGAGAATGTATCACGTACATGCTGCAGATCAATGAAGGGGTTCAGTACATCCACAAGCAGGAAATAGTACATCTGGACTTAAAGCCTGAAAACATCATGTGCGTCAATAAGACTGGAGCCAGAATCAAGCTCATTGACTTCGGACTTGCCAGAAAATTAGGTAATGAGCTTGCTCGAGTGTTAACTGATGACTTGAATATTAACTGAATGTCTTCACCAATGTGTATGATGCAGATTTCAGTTGGTTTCATATGGTTTGCATTTTTACATACGATCTTCCTTTAAATTCTCACACAACCCATCCTTCCAATTTGCCACAGTGTCTTAGTACAGTTGCTGAGTTTCATTTGAACTGATTGGGGGTAGCATAATATTTGAAAAGTGTGGAAAAGATATTGTCCCAATTGGCACTTGTACAGGGACTTAGCTAGAAAACATTTCCGAACCCCCTTGCCTTATAGTATTTGATTAAAGAACATGCAAGCCTCTTTGTTGAAGGTTCACCAGTGGAACCTTGTCAAAAGCTTTCTAAGAATTCAAGTGCCCGAGTGCGTAAATCTTTTCAGGTTTGTGGACGGCATTAGCACGTAAATATGCGGTAACTTTGTTGAAATGGTTGTGGTAAAAGGAGGAATTGTGAAGATTGGATTAGGCTCTTGGCAAATGAGGGGATAAAGGCGCGTTCATTGAAACTGTTGCGACACAGTCTACCTATCCCGAGAAGCTGCTTTTGGACACTTGATCCTGCCAATTGCTGTCTTCATGTTCATTACCCACTAACAGGCTACATCTGTATTTAAGCTTTAAAATGAATTGTGTTGCTTATCGGAATTGGCTGCCGTTTTTCGCCCACAAAACGTACAGTCAATTCACTTTACGGTATATTCTGTGAAGCCCTTTGAGATATCTGAATAACACAATAAGGCGCTGTATCACATGTAACACTTATGATTTATTATTATTATTTTAAACAGACCATAAAAATGTTGAAAGTTCACACCACGAGACGCCTCATAGACATCTCAGTCTCAAACGTAACTTAACCATTGTTTCTTGCAGAAAGTACATCCTCTCTGAAGGTACTGTTCGGGACACCTGAATTTGTGGCTCCCGAAGTGATCAACTATGAGCCAATTGGATACCCTACAGATATGTGGAGCATAGGGGTCATCTGCTACATCTTGTAAGTTATGTCCTGTTGTACCACAATTTGTGGGGTTGTGTGTGTGTTTTTTTTTAATTTTCTTTTAATCCTTCTACTCGTGCTTCCCACAATTGTTAATGTTTTGGACTATTGTGGGGGAGTGTCCCCAGAGAGGTGGACAGTGGCGCGGAGCATGGCGCGAGATTACTTGTTCCAAATGTATCCTTTACTTTCGGGTTCGGTCAGATCGACATCGGTGATCTTTTCCGGTCTTGTGCATTCCTGTGCCTCCATTCTGAAACAAACGAGTTCCAAAGAATTCAGAGTAATGTCGTGGGTGGCTCATGGTTTGCACCCAGTGCCAGCTACTCCCTTGACAGTCTAAAGATAACTCATTTTATTTTTGCATTCCGGATAGAAAATTGTTTCCATGGTATGTAGGCTCCACTCCTTCCAGTTATTCACTTTAAAAGGATATAAAAGAAAAAGCAACGCTGTTTCCAAATTTATACACTCAGTGTTCAAGCAGATTTAATCTTCCTGATAAAATATAAGCGGTTTAGCTGTACAAAGAGACTGCTTCATGGAAGGGCAACTTTTAATTGAAGCTATCAATTTTGACACTCTTCATTCGCAAACAGGTTTGTAAATACAGTAAATAAAGCATCCCATATCCACATTAATTGTGATTGACTCAATCATGGATATGGAAACAATGCAGATAATGTGTCTGTCCGTGTGTGAGACACTCTCTCTCTCTCTTTCTCTCTCTCCCTCTAATCTTGGACTTACCGAGCTCCATTAAAGTCCTGAATACCTTGTGTGCGTGCATGCATGCAACTTTAAAAAAAAAATAATAATTCCTGACATTGCCGACCGATTCCATTGGACCCGGACCGGACATTGATGCTGATCTTGCACCAATCGCATACCAATAACAAGAATGTAATACATTGTTTGAAACTCAGATCGGCATCTCGAGTTCTTTTTTGAGAGATATGTGCAGGATTCGCTAATTACTGTTCCTTTTGCAGATCTTACAATTTAGATCCCAATCTACTGAGTTTAAAAACTCAAAGTGGCTTTACGTACCACATAATCAGAAAAGGTTCTAACTAGGTCAAATAAACTGTTGACTTATAGAGGAAACTACAGTAACAGCAAATTGCATTTGTAGTGCCTCTCACGTCAGGAACATATCCAAGGCATGTTATCTATGTGCTCTTCCACTGTGAGACTCTCCCATTAAAGGCTCCAAAAGGCATATAGAGAAAATGTGCTATTTCATCCCTCAGAACCTAATTAGGTTCTGATTGAGTTTACTTCAGAGTCGAAGCAGAGATGCCTGGGATGAAGTGTTGTACTTTCGGGCAGTACAGAGATACGTAGATGGAGGTGTTGCACTTTTTGTCAGTATAGTGATTCACTGGTCAACTTGCTACACCTCCAGATACCAAGAGGATTTGATAATTGTCAGTCATTTGCAAATCCAATTGCTAACGCTATTAGATTTTTGATCTTCAGTGTTTTGCCTTTCCAATTACAAAACCTTCTGCTACTTTGTCCCCAAGGGATACCAGTTTATTTTTACTTTGGAAACTCTGGGTATTAAGATGCAAGTAGATTTCAAATTTAAACACGCGAAATCAGTCCACAGTCGGAAAATATTTATATAAAAATAACCACAGCACATAGTTGTCTGCATTCTGGACATACCAGCAGCAACCTATTGCAGAACTAAATTGTTTACTATTGCGCAGACTCGAGAGTAATGAATCTCTCTCTCTTCACTCACAGAAGAGCGCACACATGAGGAAATGTTTTTTTCTTATACTTGAATCATTAAGAATATTACCAAAACATTTTATTTAACACTGAACCGCTGACAACTACATTGTTATGAGTGTTTTGAACACGATGATTATATTTGTTTTTAAGCAGCAGTCGGATAAATGAGTCCTTGCCTTGTTCTACGTTAAGTTGCTACACATACGGTTTAAAGTAGTTGAATTGGCTGGAATAGATCCAGTGCTTTTTGTTTCCATGTCACCTCCCGTGACAAAATTTTACATTTGAGTGGAATCATTCAAGAATGAGTTCGTACAAAATGCTTTTCCCTGAAAGCATTTTAATTTTTGTTAATGAGATACAATTCGAATCATGGAGATTGTTATTCTACAGCACCAGATGGCTCGTATTGTAAAACTGAGCCAGTCTGTAAGATAGGACATGCTTTGTTAGAGGCTAATCAACTGATGGAAACAGCTACCAGGAAGGGTGGTTGATGCTGGATTAATTAAACCACACGCACACACACACACACACTTGGTGCTGTAATAGAAGACTGAGGTGTTAGTACCTTATTTTGGAAGGATAAAATCAAATGAGCCTTATCTAAATCAATCTTGGGAAATGCTTTTAAGTGAATATGCACTCAGTTTTAATGAATTGCTACTTTATGGCATGATTTGGTCTGATTCTCGTCTCTGTGTTCCAGAGTCAGTGGACTTTCTCCATTCATGGGAGACAATGACAATGAAACACTCGCCAATGTAACCTCTGCGACCTGGGATTTTGATGATGAAGCTTTTGATGAAATATCTGAAGATGCCAAAGACTTCATTAGTGGCCTATTGGAAAAAGACATGAAGTAATGTTTTCTATTTGCATTATCGTGCTTGTAGTTTTTACTTTTTGCTAAGGAATCAATGGACAATAGAGATTTTGTACTAATACAGTAAAAATGTCACTGAAATAAACTGCATTGCTGTATTTATACATAAAATAAATTGATATATTATACATTATATTTATATATTACATAAAATACATTGATATCACACTTTACAATATATTCTGTGAAGCACTTTGAGACGTCTCAACGACGTGATAAGACACTATATGAAATGGAAGAATTATTATTGTTCTTGCCTTTGCAGGAAGCGCATGAACTGTGAACAGTGTCTCGAGCACAAGTGGCTGAAGAAAGACATAAAGAACATGTCAGCGAAGAAGCTTTCGAAAGAAAGAATGAAGAAATACATGGCCAGGAGGAAATGGCAGGTAATGCCTGATGATCTCCATGATCAAGTGCTATAAGACTCTGCCCCAAGTGAAGGGGCTATATACAAATGCAAATTGTGTTGATCTGAATTTTAATATTATTGCCTTTGAAATGAGTGATTCCCTCCAATTTGAATTTCTCAGAAAACATCGATCACTGACTGCGATGTCGGGAAATGTGTATTGTGCCGACTCTTTTTCGGCAATTATTAGTGTAAAATAATTCTTATCTGTACTATTCGCTTTGTGTGTGTATTTACAGAAAACTGGGCACGCAGTTCGGGCAATTGGACGACTGTCCTCCATGGCAAATATCGCTGGACTTAATGCCAGAAAATCCTCCGTTGGAAACTCACCCACCAGCCCGACTGGTGACAGGCCAGAAACCGAAGGCAATCAAACATTTCTCGTCTCTAGGTTTTCTTTTGTAGAGTCCTGCATATTTACATTAAGATGCACTGCAGATGAAAGCATGTTTGCAGGATATCACAAGATTGGTTTAGTAGAAAGAGATTTGGCCCATCCAAACACCCACCCTGAAATTACCCTTTGCAACTCTAAACTTATGTCTTTTTGTTCTGACTTGGTGAATCCTAAAGTAGACTATAAACTGATCAAAGAGAGGTGTTACCCTCGCTCCAGATGGAAGGAGAACTCTGAGCTCTTTAAGACCTCCTGCATGTAGTTAGATCAGGATATTTCCACCTAACATGTTGTTGTGCTTCTCTCCCTCAGATGAGGACACCAAGGTGTTTCTTGAGGAGGTTAACGAAGAAAAAGCAAGTTGTAAACCATTTTTCTCCAAGACTTTCGTAGATGTGGAAGTTGTTGAAGGCAGCGCAGCTCGATTTGACTGTAGGATTGAAGGTAAAAGTCTGGACATTAATCCGTTTACACTGCATTCTTTAGTATTCCCCTCCTGCCGTCAAAGGCATGATACCAAATGCAAGGATTATTATCATTATTACATATAAGCAATATCTTTCACTGAAAAATCTATTACAGTTTATCTTGCTTGATAGAGAAGTGAAAAATTGATTAATAAATCGGCTTTTTCGGAAAAATCTGTCAAGTCTGTTCCTGTTCAGTTGCAAACTGATTTCAGTTCATATCATTCAATAACTTTTTCAGGCGATATTGTACCAGCCAATGGGTTAAAAAGCCTAATGTTTGTTCACAAGCCATCGGACGGAGCCTTTGACGATAAAGCCTCTGTTCACGTTGGAACGGAGCTACAGCCGGAAATAGACCATGAGATTATAATTTAGGAAGAAGGTTTTATGGCATTCATAAACTTCAAAACATTGATGGAATTTATGTGGGATATATAATATCACTATGTTGAAACCTCTACCTATAAAAATAATAATAATCCTTGCATTTTGATATAGCGCCTTCTCACGTCTTCAAGATGTCTCAAAGCGTTTCACAGAACACACTGAAGTGAATTGACTGTATATTTTGCGGGCGAAATATGGACAATTATTCACAAATAAGAATCATTACGGATTCTAAAATCCCGTTGAAGGGACAATCTAGTATTTGGAACGACGATCTATTCATTCAGACGCAGTTACAGAATTTGCATACGAGTCGATATAAATATTTTCCCAAATACAATCCTTATTCGGGCCTTCAGCCTCTCTGCCCCCACCCCTTGGAACTCCATCCCACAGTTGCTTTGCCTCACTCCCTCCCTGGCCTCCTTCAAGGCACATCTCGAGACCCTAGTCTTCGACCACACCTTCTGCCACCCTCCTCCCACTACCCTCCTGCCCTCCACCCCTTTCCTGATCCCAACCCCCAGCTCGGGTCCTGACCCCTGACTGTCCAGCGCCTTGGGATGTCCTCCTGACATGAGAGGCACTGTGTAAGTGTAATTTGCAGCTGTTATTGTACATTGCAGGCTACCCTGACCCTGAGGTGATGTGGTTCAAGGATGAACAGCCAATCAGGGAATCCCGACACTACCAGATTGAATACGACGAAGAAGGAAACTGCTCCCTGATCATCTCCGATGTGACCGCTGACGACGACGGTAAATATACCTGCAAGGCCGCCAACCCCCTGGGAGAGGTGACCTGGATGTCCGAGCTCCTTGTGGAAATGATGGAAGAAAGCGAGGACGAGTGACGTGGAATTGAAGAGAGTGGACGTGCCTTTTGATAAGATTGAGTTGTTTTCAAACCTGTGTGTGTGTGTGTGTAAAAAAACAAAAAAAAACTCAGTTTGACGATGCGAAAATCCCCATTCATTTTCAAGGTGTTGAAGATCCTTATGGGCATCACAGAAATTCTCACAGAGTATAGCACAAATATCTCTGCCGTTTAGGATTAGAACACTCTCACATACCTAATGACAGTTATATTTCTATTTCAGCGTATCTACTATATACTTATGGTTCAGTTTCACCCACATTTAACACTCAACAACAATAATCCTCTTTTCCTTCACAAGACTTTAGGAAGACTATAGACATGATGTTTCCCAACCAGTTATTTTCAAAGCTGCCAATCTAAAGCTATTGGTTTCTTGCCTCAGCCTTTCGAACATCCCCTTTTACTCGATGTACGGCAGACTGGTGACGACTAGCGTAGGATTTTCATTGAGTTTCCGACTTGCGGATGTAACGGAACTTGCTATCGACCTAAGGATATCGTTTTAAACACTTTATTTTGTTTACATTACACCGCACCATTATATTGTTACATTTTCACATTGCTTTGTGACAGTTCAGCTTATGTTATTATCGACAATAAATACAGTTGGTGCTTCAACTGGTTATCTAACAATCATCCTGGCCAGGAGTTCTAGAACACAATTCCTTCTTGTTTAAGCTGCTATTCATAATTATTTTTAAGCTTGGTTTGCAATTTATACGAGAAAACTAACAGTGGAAACCCAGTTGTTTGAAGACGAAACGCAGGAAGGTGTTTTCTTATTATGCTATGCACAACATGTATTTTGCACCTTAGCACTAAAATAGTTAGGAAAACTCACAAGTGATTGAATCTGTGTGAACTGAATATAATGAGGGTACTACAAAAACTATAGCCACGGGCTGGTTGCATAATTAAGAGTCAAAGTTGTATTGAGAGAAAGGAGTTTCTTGCCCACATTCGCACCGCTTTACAATACATTATAACCTGTGAAGCATTTTGAGATGTCTTGACAATGTGATAAGACGCTATTTCAAATGCAAGGATTATTATTATTGAAGAGGATAAACTGGTACATATTTTCAAATACGTATTAACTGCATACTAAACTTAAAATAAAATATGCTGTTGAGGGGCAGAATATGAAGACATGAGATTTAAGACAGTGGAGCTATTAAGCAAGTCAACTTTTTCTAACCATGGACCAGCTGTAGATGATCACAATAACTAGCGTTCTCTCTTACACACCGCTCATCCCGTGTGTAATGGTGAGCAGCAGGCACATGTAAGAGCGAAGCAGATCTAATATAAGTTAGAAATAGGCAGCAGCAGTCCAAATGGAAGAGCTTTTTATTTGAGAATGTAAAATCTCGAGAGGGCCGGTTTGGCCACCGGTCCTTTCATTTGGCTGTTATCCTGGTTTCCAGTCAATGTTAGTGCAATAAAGAAACAGCTTCAGATTGTAGTGGAATGATTTGTATTCCTTGAAATTCCAAAACGATAAAAATGTTTGATGCAGTCATTCAATCACATTAATCATGAGCATCACAGAGCGAATTAACTTGTACCAAAGAACCAATCTATATCCACCATTTCTGCTGCACAAACAATTTTGAGTCCCAATCACATATATGACGAGAACTGGTACCATATTTTATCCTAACCTCTCTTAGAAGATTAAGTGTCGAATGGGTGGCAAATACCCTGTTGTTTTTATTTTAATGTGTTTAAATATATTTATTTACTTGAATGTCTTAAACATTTGAGTTGTTTTATGTTGAGCTATATGATCCATCGTGTATCATCCTCAAAATCCAAAGCCTGTGCTTTAAATGCATGCATTGTTAGAATCTTTAGAGCTGTTGCTTTTAAGAGATATCTTAATAGTAAGATTTTATCACATAACTCAGTAACATACTATCCGGAGAGGTGAATCTGAATTAAATTGAACTGGGGAAGGTATTCTAAAACTTAATATCTTATCTCTCCAATCCACGATATTTCTCGAAATGGTCTTACAAAAAAGGACCGATTTTGAATGTTTTACTAGTAGATGTGTATTGTGATTTTATTTAGCACACTTCACCTGAGTAAGTAGTTTGTTGCTTTCAATACAGAACTCATCATTGCCAGAAATCCAAAGCAGACATTATTACTATAGTGCAGGTTTCCAGCTTTTTATTTCATTTTTAAAAAGAATAAACACCGCTTCAGCAATTAAAAGAGCCAACGATTCCTAGAATAAACATCAACTTTGCATTTACAAATGTATGCGGCATGTGCCATCCTGACTATCACTTTTATGTGTGTCTGTGTGTGTGTGTTTGTGTTTTGTCTCAACTTTGTGCAGATTTTACAGTAAATAATTTTGTCTAAGTATTGATCACACAGCAAGTGTACTCTTAAGTTAAATAAAACTGCATTGTAGGTTTGTAATTGCACTTTGCAGACGTCAAAAGCCTTTGTTGTTGAATTAACGAGAGGAGACATCAAACCACGGAGGGAGAATTTCCTTAACCCTTTCATTGGAGTGTATCGGGCTTCAATTTGAATTTGGATAAAATTCTCTGCTGCATAATATACTGCTGTCATCGTACTTTTGTATAATAGTTGCAAGAATGAATTTAAAAGTTTGTGGCTCATTCTCTAAAGCTAAAACCAATACAGTTAAACAAAAAAGCATCAAATTTCTAAACCATGAACTGAAGTGATTTTTAACCACTATTTTAAATGTTGCTATCTCAGCATTTCTGTAAGCGTGGTACCTAATGAAAGGGTTAAAGACCGCTTGGTGATGTTATTGATTGCTGACGATATCCAAATATCTGTATTTTGTAACAAAATTAATAAAACAATATTTTATACAACATCTCACTATTTGTTGTCACTGGCTCCAAAGTTGACCGATACATAAACAAGACTAATCTAATTCTGTTTGGGTGCTGATTTCAAGCTGTAGTGCTTAAAGAATAATATATAGTGCTATATCAAATGCAAGGATTAATTATATTATTTAAGGTCCATCTTGGGTTTGAAATACCAGCCTTCTATCACTAGAGGTCTTCAGTGAGCTATAGGAATAATGGCAGGAAAGATTGATGGAGCATTTCAAAACACCACATGACCTGGGGACCATTTCTCAGTGAATTATTCATTCAATTATTACAGTCACTTGCTTAAAAGTTCTGTACGTTTGCTCTGTACATAAACAGGACTGGTCAGAAAAAAAACTAATTTAATCAGTAGGAATGCATTCACATCAGAGTTTTGTAGCTGAGATTACCAGGTTGTAAATTGAGGAACTGATTAACAACAAACAACTTACATTTATACAGTGCTCCTCACCCAGAGAGCTTGATTAACAGAAAACCGGGTTCATCAAACTCCTTGTTTAAGGTCTTCAATTAAATTCAGTTTGAAATTATGACATCTGCGTAGTGGGCATTGGCATTAATAGATCTGTCAAGATATAGCGAACTGGTGAACCAGGCTCGATGGGCTGAATGACCTCCTCCTGTTATCCTATTCTATTGATTGGTAATTTAATAATTGCAAGCGCTTTTTTTGTGCTTAATTTGCATACAAATTCCTTAAGCAAATCGAGTGTCTTTCACGTTTGGATCAGCCTCGATCCACAAGGAAAGCTGAACTTGCCCAACCTTAATCATTTTCACTGTTGGCTATCACCTTTCTAGCTTTATTAGAGGATCATAGACAATGGCACAATTTCCGACTGGAACGTAGGAAATTCCCTAAGGCTTACAGACGCCGATCTGTTCAAAGTGTGGTACAGCAACATTCCACCAGTCTGTACAAGTAAACAATCTAGACTGTGTTAACTTCGAAACTGTTTTGAAATAAATAGTCTACATTCAGGAATGCTTAGGGGGAGGCTGACACATTCGTGCCAAAAAAATTAATGTTTTGTTCATAATTATAGAATATTCTCCCTTTCGTGTTATGCAAAAGCTTGTTTCACGTGAATGTTAAGCCAGTGAACGCAAGTCCCAAGGCGTACCTAATAAACACATTTAATTACGAATGACCAGAACACTCTTGGATTTTTTCCACTAAAGTGTATACAGAAATAAGTTGGACAGTTTGGGATATTTACTTGGCAATGGATCAGGTCAAGAGAAGACATGCAAAAGAGTTATTGAAGTTTAACAGCAATTTTTGTTTACCAAACATAATAGTGAACCAAATGCATCTAAGGGTGCCACAGATTGATTGTATAAAGCTTTCTTGAATAAGAAGTATCTGTTGGAAGGAATTGTTTGATGAAATGCAGGCTTGCTTCTGTGTCCTGTTGACTATTTTGTGTAATTAATCCTCCCGCCCTTCCTGTCACAGATAAACAAACACCGATCTTAGGACACTTGAGTTGCACTGTTCCCTCAGACACATGTAACTTGTAGGCACAGAATGGTCGATGAACAATGTAAAGGTTTACAGGTTTTTAATTAGTGTCAATGAATACATACAATCTCTTTTCATCATAATAATAATGGTGTTTAATGATAGCCATGGGCATGATACATGGCTTAATATAACGATCCATATAAAATACTACTATATTGTATTGCAACTTTAAACTGTTATCCATCTTTGTTTCATAACACAATTTGAGCAATGGATTCCCATCTAGTTAGAGCAATCGGAGAAGGAGCTTGTTAATTCTGTGACATTTACTCAGTCAGCTGGTAGTTCTGCCTGATCATCTTAATCTGAATGAGGCTGCCAGATGGTTGGATGAATTATAATTCAATTCATATTCGCATCATTGTTAGTTCTCTCTGAAACGTCCTAGCTGCATGTTACAAGCTGCATGTTAATTGTGTGTATGAGCTTCAATTCAACACTACATTACACTGGTGGTAATTAGTATAACTTCTGTACACTTGAAAGAATAATTATCATTATTTCAGGGAAGGAAAATGAGCTCAGTGTCCTTTATAATAATAACTTTCCTATCTTATCTCAGCACAAGCAATGGAGAATCAAAATCAAACTTGGGAACTACAGTATATGAGACTTTTCCATGGAAAGATCTTTCATTGCGTGAATAGCCTTGCAACAAGTTAACATTGTCGGATTCCTCCATGGCAAAGCTCAATGTAGAATTAAACTAAACAGATTCATTGGTTTGATACTGAGTTTGTTTAGTCAGAGAGCGATGGTGGTTCAACACGTTTGAAGACAAAATACACAGTCACCACACTTTACAGTGAATCCTGTGAAGCGCTTTAGAGATGCTCCCAATGTTAAAGGCGCTATATTGAATATAAGAATTATTACTTTATTTGTTCCCTGACTTTTGGGTGGAGGTAGAAAATCAGCCGTGGGTTCCCACTCCTGTTTGCTATCCAGTGATTTTTGGGTGTGTGTAGGTGTGTTCCAGTCAAATAGTTTGCTGATGTTTGTAGTCCAGACTCACACATGAAGAGTCATCACTTGAATGAGAGCAGTTGGTGCCTGTGGACCTGTACACTACAGAGTCAGCATCTTCAGGAGACAAGTGGTGAAAATTTGCGGAGGATTTAAACAAAAAGAAAGTTACTATCTCATGGGTTATTGATATACATAAAAGTTTCACCACTTTGTGTGAGCGACAATCCTCTATTTTAACCTTAAATATTTGTAATGTACGTTTGCAAAAAAGGCTAAACTGTGATTTGACTTATTTAAAAGCACATCATGGTTTTTTTACTTAAAGATGGAAATTGATATTGTTCAGCCCTGATTATAAATAAATAAATACTGTCTGTGTTTAGTGTCTAATCACTGCTTCTCTTCCTGAGAGATAAAGTAGTTAACGTCTCACACAAATAATAATAATGTTTTACATTATACTATCAGCATTCTGTATAAAAATAATGAGTTACAAAAGCAAATTTGTCTGGTTAAAGAGTGAACTATCCTAAACCTCAACCATAAAAAAATTAAAATATACAACATGTCAAACAAAGAATAAAATGTAGACAGGAAGACTTAATGTGAACTTTTAAAAATCTTAATAAATGTTTGGATTTTTCTTTAAACAGGCGAGCAAAAGATTTTCTATAAACAAACAAATGCGCATTTTTTTGTTTATTTCCTTCTTGTTGTTTTGAAATTTTCTTCCTCGTTTCAATTTATTTTTGCGTGACCTGGACAGGTACAAATTGGTGTGTAATCTGCGCTAATCCAGAACCATCTGAATCCAGGACAAGTTGATTGAATCCAATTGCCTCGTAAACCTACAACCGACTCATATACTCAGACATCGCTGAATGAGGCCTTGTTGAACTTGACCTCAGTGAGTACAAACACACAGAGAAAAACACCGCCTTAAGCCAAGCTGTTCAGCTCGTCCCTCAGGCTCATTTTCCATGTGTTTCTACTTCGCTTGTGTGAAACGTATGAACCAGAACTGGCTATATTCCCACGTGGGACCCAGATTACAAAGTCCACACGCAGCAGCTGCGATGCAGGAAAGTGCGCAGATGTGACGTTTCCAAGTGGAGGAACACTCTGGAGCCTGCGACCACCCAAAAACAGAGTCTCCTAATGTAATAATACATTAAGAGCCCGAATTAATAAGTTATCCTTGAATCATTTCAGGTCATCAGATACATTTCTTTTTCTCATGCCGAAACACGGCAGAGAATTAGCTGGAACACAAGAGCAAAAAAGGCAATCCGGCAGAAATTTCTAAACGGCAGAATATTCCAAGGATTGTAAAATCCAATTGAAATCTGCACAATAGGATTAATAATAAAAATCATAATAATAATAATAATAATCCTTGCATTTGATATAGCGCCTTATCACGTCTTCTAGATGTCTCAAAGCCCTTCGCAGAATATACTGTAAAGTGAATTGACTGTAGATTTGTAGGTGAAACGCAGCAGCCAATTACACACAGCAGCGTCCCCACAAACAGTCGTGGATTGAAGTGACCAATTTTTTTTTTTTTTCTTGAGGGATTATTATCAGGCGTGTGTGGAGTAAGGAAACTTGCCCAATGTTTCGCCCCGCCTGGAATCGAACCCAGTTCTCTCGCTTGCGAGACGAGTGCTCTAACCACTGAGCTACAGGTCTCCACACAGGATTCTTTCTGCATGCGAAAAAGAACTGTACCTGATGACCTGAAACCATGCTGCATTTTTCAGGATAACTTATTCATTCGGGCTCTTAATGTGTTATTACACCAAGCCAGATCAGAGACGAACAACAGCAACTTGCATTTAAATAGCGCCCTTCGCTTTGCATCTCAGAGTACCAAAATGCAGAGACTGAGGGCAAAACCACAAACAAACATTATCTTGCTTAAAATTAGTTTGGAGAGAGTTATGGAGAAGGCAGGATGACTCACTCGAGGCGGTACAGTTCTTTTTCTCATGCAGAAAGAATCCTGTGTGGAGACCTGCAGCTCAGTGGTTAGAGCACTCGTCTCGCAAGCGAGAGAACTGGGTTCGAATAATCCTTCAAGAAAAAAAAATTGGTCACTTCAATCCACGACTGTTTGTGGGACGCTGCTGTGTGTAATTGGCTGCCGCGTTTCACCCATCGTTAAACTATAGTTCAACATTCAATATTGAAATCAATCGGTGCTATAATTTGATCTGAGCAGTCGCTTCACGAATGAGACCATTTTATCCATTGGGAATCCACTAGATGTCCTCATAACACTTTTGCAGTTTTCTCCTTCACAAGAGCAGGCACAGACTTAGTTGTAGCCCATCTCTGGAACTGTAAAATCCACCGATGTTCCTCAACGTACACGCCAACCTGATCTAAACTATTTTTAACCCATGTTTTTACATTTTCTCACTGTCAGGCATTTTCCCCACCCACTCATTGCATGCAGCAAAACTAATAAATCAC